ACAAAGCACAGGGCAGAGAGGAGACCAATGTACCCCAGCACAGCCCAGAAGCCCACTGCTGACCCCACATCACACTCTAGAATGATCTTCTCAGTGAAATATGCAGTATTTTTGTTTGGTACTGGTGGGGCTAATGCTATCCATAGTGTACATATCAGCACCTGCAGGAGAGTACAGCCAAACACACTAAGCCTCTGTAAGGGTGCAGAACACCGTAAAACATTAGTTCCAGGCACAGAGGCTTTGAAAGCATTTACTACTACTATAGTCTTTGCAAGAACACAGGAAATGCATAGTGCAAAGGTGATGCCAAACGCCGTGTGGCGCAGCATACAGGACCAGCGAGAGGGTCGGCCGATGAACGTGAGTGAGCAGAGGAAACACAGGGTCAGGGAAAAGAGCAGCAGGAAGCTCAGCTCAGAGTTGTTGGCTCTGACGATGGGCGTGTCCACAAAACGGAAGAAAATTAATGCTATCGCTGCCGTTAAACCAACTCCGATGACTGAGATAGCTGTTAGCAGTTTTCCCATAGTTTCTTCAAATGAGAGGAACTCCACCTTCTTGTGGATGCATTCTGTGTGACCTTCATTCGACCAATATTCAAGTGGGCATTTTAAGCATTTAGTTGAATCTGAAAGAAAAAGTCTACATTAATTACCAGCTTACCCATAGGGAACGTGTTTGCTCAGCAGGTAGTACGTCCAGGGTTTGGGGATTGAATCCCACCTCCACTCCAGTATCCAGTTGTGGTTTTCCTTTACAGTCCAAAGCATGCAGTTATTATAATTGGCGCCTATAATTTGTCCATAGTGTATGATTGTATGTGCCAGCAATGGACAGGGATCTCATCCAGGTTGTACCCCACCCTTGTACCCTGTGCGGACTGGGATAGGTTTCAAAAAGATAGATAGCAAATCACCCAATACAAAAATTCCACTCCTTGTCGTTTTAATAACCAGATTTTAAGACAAGAGAATTTTTACTGACCCCAGAGGGATCAATTTATTTATGGTTGTCTCAAGGATCAACCACAGAAGAGGTGCTTTATCAGTAAAATGCTGTGTAGTTTGTTATGGGCCTTTTACCTGTTGTGTTACTGATCTCACCAGAAGCACATGGGATACAGGAGAAGCAGCATATGGGTTTGCCTCGAATCGTGGCCTGTCGGGCACCAGCTTGACAGCTTTCACTGCACACTGACTTGGGTTTCTGAGAAGCACAAGAGGGGGCTGGTTTTCTGTTTATACACCAACACCCACAGCCACCCATCAGTCCATCACCTGTGAACTTACTGACTCAAACACCCATCTTATTCAGATTACACATAGACAAAGAATAGCATTCATTTATCTTAATTTATCCCACTGGGTCACATACATATAATACCAATATGTTATTGTATTCTCAGCCTTTTTTATTGATTAGGATTTGAGACTGTTAATTAGCCCACAGTAATGAAGAACACAGAGGTTTTAAACTCACCACGGATGACTCTCCTGCCCATACAATACTGGCACTGTTCATTACAAATTGTTTTCCAACAGGCATTGACACATCATAGTAACCCACTGTGATAAACTTTGTTTCTCCATTCTCTCCTTTCTGCCAGTTCACTAGTTCATATCTTGCCATTGGGTCACCATTGGGATTAAAATTTACATTCTCACCATTGGGTGTCGTAAAATTAACTCGTTGTAAGTAATGCCTCACCTGCATTTTCAGGAATTGTGACAGAGATGTTATTAATATACCATATTTTTTTGCATGTGAGTTAATGTAAGAAAGTCGCATAAAAAAGCTTTATCATCGACAGGAAGTGCTTCACACCTGAGCTGCTTCAATGTCTTCCTTTCTCACACTGGTCTGGTTCAGTAAGTTGTGGAGGGCGTGAGCCACAGCATACGTTGCCTTGTAGACATTGTTGGAGATCCTCAGCTCTGAGACATCAGTATACTGATTACTCAGCTCTCCCAGTTCCTCAGAACCTGTACAAGGCTTGATGCTGGATGTTTCATTTGGAGGGGAGAACTGGCACTCAAATGCAGTCTCCCAGAACTCTCTCAACAGTGCATTTGTTGGATTTTTAGATGGATGGACTTTGACCAAGAAGTCTTTAAGGCCAGGTATCTTAGACTTGCTGATAGTGAAGCCGATGGCACTGCTTATCACAGCTGAGGTTCTGGGGGTGGCTAGATATCGGGCAGTGATCCAGGACTCACTGGCAACCCACTGAAGACCTGTCACATTCTGAAGTATAATCTCCTCCAGCAGGACCTCCATTTCACCCTGGGCCAGAAATGCTAGCAGTACCTTTGATGTGGACCTTTTAATGACTTCAACAACCCTTGAGATTCTTTGTCTTGGATTATTTCGTAAAATGGCCTCTGAGTATTCAATGCACACACCCTCATCTTGGGCAGCCTCTACAAAGACACTCATCCCATTGTTGCCATAGTCGTTGTCACTCCTGACAGCCCCCACCCAGGTCCAGCCAAAGTGTTTGATCAGCTGAGCCAGTGCTCTGCTCTGGTAGTAGTCACTGGGAATGGTCCTGAAGAAATTGGGGAACTCTTTTCTGTTGCTTAGACATGCACAGGTGGCAAAGTGACTGATCTGCAACGATAAAGAACCAGTGAGTTTTGGTTAAAGCTTTTTTCAAGAGTCTTGATATATTTTATGATTTAATGAAGGCATGTTACCACTGGAATATGAAAAGGCCCGGTGATCCTTGCTATTGCTATGGTCGAGGAAGACTCTGACTCCCCGATAATGGCATGCACTGCCGCTTTGCCCGAGCACTGCTGTGCCGTCTGTTCCTGCCCATTCACTAGCGACATTGCAGCCCGCATGGAGACCAAGGTGGTACTACAGCTGTCATAGATCTCATAACCAATGGTCACATTCGGGAGCAGGCTGCTGCTGTTGTTTATTTCCTCAATGGCGAAGGTCATGGTCTGAGCAAAGCGGAATTCTCTCAGGTTTAAGCTGGCAAATGCAAAGAACTGACAACGTAAAACGCAGTTTGAGAATGTTATCATGTTTTCAACCACAGACGCATATTGTGATCTTACCTATTAATGAATTATATTTTGTGCAACGTAATAATATTTTGCATATTGAACAAGTATGTAAAAGAAATACAAGAAACAGTGTCCAGGCATTTGGTTTAATAATAACAATAACTGGCACTAATGCGTTTTTTTCACATTGCTATTCTCTGTGCCGTATCCTATGGGAGAAAAATTAACAAATCAAATTAGTCGTTTTGTGTCAGATTCTTTTTAACTGCATCAGTTGCTGCAAAAGCAAGTGAGTAAAACGCAACGAGAAACACACCTGGAGCAAGATGGAGATTGTGGTTTGTTTCTGAAGGAAAGAGCTGGCAGTGAGATTTTGCGGTGAATGGAGAACGCTGCTCCAATTACGACGTCTCCTTTCTTGGAAAGCTGGGGGTACTCGGGGGTCCCCAGTATTTGGCAAGGTATTTGTCCCTTTGCTCCAAGGACATAGAGCACCATCAGAGTGCAGAGCAGCATGCCGGACTCTCTGTGGTGAGTGAAGGCTTCAGTCAGCCCCTGTGAAAAGAGCACTTTATATAGTATTCTGGGATAAGGGATTTCTCTGCCGGTCTCAGTGTGTACAGCAGGTACGAGGAACTCGTCCCGTGAGGGCATGAGCAAAACTCCAACAGCTTATTCCAGGTCATGTGATTCGTTGCATTGATGTAAAAAAAAAAATGTTCAAATGAAAGTTCTGAGATTATATGACTTCTAATAGCTTCTAGAGTACTTACTACTTCTAAATTATAAGACTTCAAGAGTACCTATTATGTTAACTGTGTATTAAATATGTGCTGACTACTGGTCGAAGTCTTATATTTGACAAACTGTACAAAAATTGAAGTGAAAAACATATATATGTGTGTAGAGTTTCCGATTCGGACTGTACGTAGAGTAGATTACTCTAGTTTTAGGGTGTCTTGCAATTGCACTTCATGCTACGTGAAACTTCTGGGTCAATGCCCAGTGTATTTGCTTTATGAATTTGAGTCCTGCAGTGTAAAAATGTACTTAGTGATTTAACAGATGGATGTTTTTTAGTGTCAATGGAAGGAAATTCCCTAATAATAACCAAAATAACACCAAGCATTTATTTTATAGTATTGTTTATTTTTGTGTATCAAGTTACACAAACAGTTTACATGCATGGTCTCAAGGTCAGTTCATATTTTCACAGAGCCACGTGTGCATTATAATTTATACAATGCTGGTAAATGCTAGGTGTTTGTCCTGAACATAACTATGTTATCTGATAATTCTGTAGGAATAAGCAGATCCTCAGTCCAAATCACTATGGCAACTGCTTCAGCTGAACATCCAGAGCCAGGACCCAGTGTTGTGACACAGGAAGATGTAGCACTCTGCATGCCATTCCTTTTTCTGCATGTTGCATATAATTTATATGATCTGGAAAAGATGAATAGGATTATGAGGATAATTCATTTTAGTGAATATTGGTCAGTGGGCAGGGGTTGGACTAGTGGTCCCCCGGGCTGTGTGAGTGTGAGGAAGCGGCTTGCCTGCTTGATGATCAGCTGGGCCCCGAGCACATGGTACAGCATCAGAGCAGTGAGCAGGCTGGCTGTGACTAGGCCTTGGCCGGCAGGGCGGGGGGGGGGCCAGGGACCCACAGGCTTCGTGCAGCAAGCAGAGTGGCCGGGGGCTGGATCCCGAAGCTCCCCAGCTGTGAGGGTTCCTTTGCTGTCTGAGCAGGGGGCTGGAATCCATGGCCTGTCAACGTTTAAAAACACAGGAGAACCTTCAGTCAAACTCAGTCACAGCAATGAAAGCAAACATATTTTGGTCAACATTTTGATCAAAGGCAGAGTCTCAGGACAGTTTTGTGTTTTATGCTTTAAACCTTTGGATTCAGCACATGTTTAGCTTAGCAGATTAGCAGGGTGAAGAAAGAAGTCAGCAGGATGTATTTGTGTGGATTTGCTATTCTTTATCACCTTATGAATGTCTGGCCTCAAATAGCCAGATGCTGCTAGGCTATCCAGAGTGTCTAATTACAAAGCTCTCTAATTAGCAGGTTCCCTGAGCCAAATACACAAGAGGGGTGGCAGTTGGAGCCTTGGGTGGGGCGGGGTGGGGGGGGGGGGGGGGGTGAGCTGTTGGATGCTGGCTGCTGATTCCTCTCTCCAGTCTTGGTGAGTGTGGTTCCCTGTGGAAACCTGAGGGGAGAGCAGGTGGGTACTGAAGCAAGCCTCCAGCTGGAGACAGAGGGTCAGCCGCTTGTACTCAGCTGCACAGAGCAACGGTCCATTTCTTAGGAGGGTGCACTCAGGTCATGAAGTCACCTGTAAAGATAGAAGGCAAACATTCATATGATTCAAAAAGACCTCAACCTTAAGTGAATGTACTTACCCCAGACACTGCACAGTGACCTCTTTGCTTGTGTAGTTCCAGGGTGCCATCTCCACCCGCCTGGGCAGTGGAGAAGGCTCTTCGATCAGTATGTCTCCGTTAACAAGCAAAGTTGGCTCAAATTGGCCCTGCTGACTGCAACTGTAGCCTGGGGTCTGGAACTGGGGCACTGGCCAGGTTACGACCAGCAACAGAAGCAGAGCCATGCTGATGGCTGTGAGATGCTCACTCGAACCAGGGACACCTGCCTGGTGCGAGTGTGTTGAGCTTCACCTGTCACCCTTGTGTTATGTGTCCGTGGGCAAGGTGGAGACAGCCCACACAATGGTCTCTGCAGGAGCCGGAAATGGCTCGTGCCAGAGAAAAGGTGGGAGAGCAAAATGTCTCGCTGTTATACACAGAAAAATACGGCGTTTCATTGGGGGTGTGTAACAGCATGGTGATGCAGCAGCTAGAGTGCAGGCCTTGTTGTTGTTGTTATTATAATAAAAGGTGTTAATCCTCTCAGTTAATCATTAACCAAGTACTATTATTCTCGTTATTATTAGAAATACATACATAATTCCAAGTTAAAGCTTGAAATTTGAAATTCACTGCAAATCATAAATAGCATGTAATAAAAATATATGTAGCATAGTTAGAATATAAACATTAAGCACACAGTCTGTTTTCCGTGGATTAAGGATACTTTGGACATGGGTATTAGATCGTGCTTTTGACAGTGTAATAAAATAAACAGTTCATTACTTACACCTGATCCACTTATTCATGTTGTTTTTCTTTTTTGTTTTTAACACCTTGGGGCATATAGTATTTGTTTAATATCCTTGAATAATTCAATTTAACACTGGATGCTTTCTAATTAAAGCGCTTATTGTTTGTACAGCCATGTTGTGACCTAGAGGCGCCTCTGGAGTCGTCTGGCTGTTTGTTACAGTTGGCTGTCAGGGCACAGACCCACGTGGGGCCTGCTGGCTCTCTCCTGGCACGCCCGCCCCACCCTCGCCATGCCGCACCCGGTCTGTTTGTTAAACCCTAGAGACCACAGCAGGTGTTACTGCCGTCATGCTGAATCATCAGCTGTTAGTTTTATTTCTCCAGGCTGTCCTGACAGTGTGGAGTGTTTGTTTTGTGTTTATGATCAAAAAGGGTGTGTGTGTGCATGTCTGTGTGTGTGTGTGTGTCTGCGTGGGGCCTGCTGGTGGAATGACAGGCCGGACACAGGGGACTCCACACGTGAGCCCTGTGTGTCGTAGACAATCCCCACATTCATAATGGGAGGACTGGAGTGGGTCGCAGTCTTGGCCTTTAGCATCCTCTGCTGGCCAGTTTCCAGACCTGCAGCCTCCACTGCTGAAGTGATCTGCCTGGGTCTCCTGCCATATCATGTTTGATATGACAAAAAAATTATGAATTATGCCATTATTAGGAAGAATTGCAGAACTTGTGGGTGACCTCAGCTGTTGTCCTGTACTGACCAGAATGGTCACACTGTTCATTAAAAAACTCAATAAGCCCTAATTATCTGTAGATAATCAGTTGTTTATATCTATTATATTGGGTTTGTGAAAGCTGTACACTTTCTAGATCTCCTCTACAATTGCACTTCTATATATTTTGTCAAACAATTAAACTTTGGAGGATAAAAAGTTAAAAGGTCACTGTTACCTCAGTATTAAATGTCTAATTCATACCCATGTGAAGATGGCACTGCACTATATTAGATTTCTTTGCCAGATGCTTTTATCCAAAGAAGATAATTGGGGCCAAATCACTCAGCTGACCCCGAGATTTGGACCAGCGACCTTCCAATCACGAGCACAGTGTCCCACCTACACTACAGAGGCACTGTCCAGTGTCTGCCCTGCTTTCAGCTTTCAGCTCTTGAGCACAAACACACATACAGGACCAGAAACGGGGGCCTAATAAGAACAGGCACATGCTTCCTGTGTGAACTGCCAAAAGCTGGTAGGGAAATGTGGGGTGCTGGTGTGTGTGGGAGAGGCACCCTGAGCTCGCAGGCCACTTCCCATGTCCCTTCTGATGACATTCTCTGTAATCAGGTGAGGCTCCCAGCGCAGCTGCCAGTCCCTAATCAGAACCGGGAAATTTGTTATGATGCAACACTGCAGCTGGGATCAGGCCGCTGAGGCACAGAGCTGCTTTCCTGCGTAGGAAACAGTTTCAAGTCTCTGCATGTTTAATTGGCCCTTCTTCACCTGCGCCCTCTGCCCCCGCCCCCCAGAGGTGACAGGGAAATTGGCCGATCCGGGGCACCATTCCCACATGGACGCCCACACCTCTGCGCCGAGTTCCGGCCCCCTTCTGGGTTTGCAACTTGTTGTTAATTAAAACATCACTCCAGGCGAGTTCTGATTAAAAACCAGACATGTCCCATAGGTGATCTGTCTAAGCTCACAAACAACACTGTTGCATTACAGTTGTTTTTGCTAGTCTGTATCAGTAATATTAATTAGGGCACGAGTCAGGTGACGTCTCAGGAAAAATCTTATGGTTCACGTCCCGCCTGCTTCTATTTTCCAGCCGGCTGTGGTAGACAAGGCAAAGGGACCCTCTCAGTGGTTTTCTGTCTGTGAACATCGACACCTATCATCTTCATGTGTTCATTTAATCACAGAAAATTAGTTTTTCGGTTCATGCTCCCATCTCTTAAGACATTAATGGATTTTGATCGGTAATAACACTGTTCCGTTTAAGAATATGATTTAAAAAGATGGCCTGAAATGTGTGTATTGTACTTCTTGAATCATGATAGTGGATCACAATGCTGAAATACAAAAGTGAAATGCAGAGACGCCAGCAGCTGTCTGGAGTCTGTGAGTGTCTCTGGAGGAATAGAGGCTGCTTGATGAAGACGTGCCGCAGTCACTCTCCTCCGGCTTCCCCCACACTGCCGCCCTGGGAGCTGCCCCCCCATTAGTCCATACAGCATGAAATAGTACCCTGCCTTGCTGAGCCATCTGATAGGCCCTTCCGCTGCATGTCGGTAACGGCTTCTCCTCTGTGATTTGCCCTGCAATTTCAAGTTTAATAAGATGTAAACAAAGAAGGCTGACAGACGTGCTGCTGCCCGAGACCCCATTTATACGCCATAGCTGTATATGCCACGGTGCTTGCTTGCTTAAAATTAAACATGCACAGAATTATTGTTGACTGGGTGGAAGTTTATTTCACGTTGTCACTTTCATGCATTCTGGGATTGTTTTTTGGGGGCATCACGTTTGGTTGTTACGAGAGCAACTAGGGATGAAATCTCTCACCATTATGGTGGAGTATAGGACAGGGTGAGTGGACAGGGGGGGTCCACTGTGGGGTGCCCCATAAGAGCAGGAAATGGCACAGATGTAACAGAACCTGTGATGAACAGAGGCAGAGGAAGTCCTGCTCCAGCTCCATCTGAGCTCTGATGTCCTGGTCTAGTGCTGAGATGCAAATACATCACTTCCTGTTGGGGCACCCTGTCAGGGAGCCAGGCAGGGATCGGCTCCTAAATATGGGAGCTGTGGGACTTAAAAGTGGGCACTTAGCGAAGAGAGCATGCCTGTGTTGTCCCAGCAGAGAGAGCTGGGGAGGCAGGCTGCTGTTTCCGTGTGGCCTGGGGCGGCACAACAAGTACGTCCCACTCCCCCTATCTCCTGTCGCCTGCGGAGCCGTCCTAATGACCTGCGCCCATACAATAGCTGCACTCAGCACACACGCCGGCCCTTAATGACTCATTAAACCCAAGCTAAACCATCCTACTGAGAGCTCCTGCTGCCGCTGGTTAATGGACAGACTGCAACGCACACTGGTCTCTGGAGTGTAGCCCCTCACTTACTGTAGCAGTGGTATTGGGAACCTGACATTCTGTTACAAGAAAGCCCTGCATTCTGTTCTAGTGCCCCTGAGCAGCTGATGTGTTTTCAGCTTCACAGAGAAGAAAAGCACCATGCCTTTTTTTGTTAGGATCCACACTGCAGGCGGGTGCACATTGTGTAATTTCCCGTTGCTGTGCCCCCCAGGGCCCTGGGTTACTGTCTGTAGGGAGGTGATGAGATGATGCCCATCATGTATAAAGATGGGCGTCTGTGGGCGGCACTATGTCTGATGGGCGCTCTGAGCGCCGGGGCAGGGCATGTGTGGCACGGAGCACCAACCATGAGGGCGTACACTCTGCTGCGGGTGATCTGCTCCGCTGTGTTCTGGGCTTCCTGTCGCCAGCAGAGCTGCCAGCCCATCGCTGGACACTCTAGTCTGGGGTCACTGGAGCAAGAGGGGGACGTCACCTTGGGAGGGCTCTTCTCCCTCCACGACTCAGTGCGGGAACCTGACCTGACCTTTGGGTCCAGACCTGCTCCCACGAGCTGCTCTGGGTGAGTAGAGGAACCAGACCAGCTCCTGCAGCACTTCCACACCTTGAGGGGGTTCTCCAGGAAGGGATCGAGATTGAGCACAGCCTGCAGGCCGCGTGCAGGGTCTCCACATGACTGTCTGACATCTGATGCCTGCGCTCAAACTGTCCCTGTTTCAGGTTCAACTTCCGAACCTTTAGATGGATGCAGACCATGATTTTTGCCATAGAAGAGATTAACCGACAGGGTCACCTTCTTCCCAACCTGACCCTGGGCTACAAGATCTATGACTCTTGCAGCACCACCTTCCAGGCGCTGCGAGCAGCAATGGCGCTGGTGAACGGGCGTGGCCCGGGCGAGGAGGCAGCCAGTTGCAGTTCCGCGGTGCCCGTTGTCATCGGTGATGGCGGATCCACTCTCTCCCTGGTGGTGGCACGATTTCTGGGCATCCTTCGTTTGCCACAGGTGAACAGCCTGTGTTATTATGCTCCTGTCAGTCTGATGTTAGTGTTTGCATGTGACGCCAGGGTCCTCTCATCCCCAAACCCAGGTGAGCTACTTCTCCAGCTGTGCCTGCCTGAGTAACAAGAAGGAGTTCCCCGCCTTCCTGAGGACCATGCCCAGCGACCTCTTTCAGGTCGACGCCCTGGCCCTGCTAGTTCGCCACTCGGGCTGGACCTGGGTCGGCACCGTGGCCGGGGATGATGACTATGGCCGGCAGGGCATCCAGATCTTCAACCAGCAGGTGGGAAGGCAGGGTGCATGTGTGGCCTTTCTGGAGGTCATCCCCAAGAACCATGCCGCTGAGCGTATGTCCAGCATCGTGCGGCGCATACGACTGTCCGGCGTGCGCGTGGTGCTGCTCTTTGCCCTAGAGCAGGATGCTGGGGCGCTTTTTCAGGAGGTGCTCAGGCAGAACCTGACCGGCATCCAGTGGCTAGCCAGTGAGGCGTGGGTCACAGCATCCGTGCTGGCTGCACCGCACTTCCACCCCATCCTGCAAGGCTCCGTGGGGTTCGCGATCCGCCGGGCCGACCTGCCCGGGCTGAAGCCCTTCCTCCTCCGCCTGCACCCGTCCATGGCTCCCTCCGACCCCTTTGTCCTTGAGTTCTGGGAAAAGACCTTCGGGTGTACCTTCCAGGGCACCCCGGGCCAGAGCCGCTGCACTGGCTCTGAGCAGCTCGCCAACGTCACGAATATCTATGCTGACGTGACACAGCTGAGGATCTCCTACAACGTGTACAAGGCAGTGTATGCCATCGCTCACTCTCTGCGCTCCATGCTGCAGTGTGAGCCAGGTGGGGCACCCTTCTCTGGGGGCTCCTGTCCTCATGTCTCCAACATCCAGCCTTGGCAGGTAACGCTCCTGGAATATTAAATGACATTTTTTTAAATTAAGGGACATTTTTTTTTCCTTTTTAAAACATAAAGGTTTTGTTTAAAAAGTAGGTGTTATCTATAATAGTGTTTCTCAACCCTTTCCTTGGGGACCCTCGGACGGTCCACATTATTGCTCCCTATATCCTCTAGCTCCCTGTCAGATAGTCCACACTTTTGCAAAGACAGGGACTATCTGGAGGTTCCCGAGGACACTGATATAAAAAACATGGCTTTTCACCCCTTCAGCTCCTGCACTACATGAAGCAGGTGGAATTCACCAATGAGTTTGGCGAGACTACAAAATTTGACGCGAACGGGGACGCCGTGGCGACGTACGATCTGATAAACTGGCAGCTCACTGGCGACGGCGCCGTCAGGTTTGCCACGGTGGGCCGGTTCGACGGCACGTTGAGCCCCAGTAAGAAGCTAACGATCGACGACCAGGCTATCGTCTGGAATGGGAACCGAAAACAAGTAAGCCATTCATACTCCTGGGGACATGAGCCTGGTTGTGAGTTGCCTTTGGTGTCGGTGTAAGACACTGATGCGCCATGCTGACTGCCGCAGTCTCCCCGGTTCCTCCCGCTCAGATTCCCCGATCCGTGTGCAGCGACAGCTGCCCCCCCGGCACTCGCAAGGCCATCAAGCCTCGGCTCCCTGTCTGCTGCTTTGACTGCGTTGTCTGCACAGCTGGGGAGGTTAGCAATCAGACAGGTGAGTGCTAATGGCTTCTGTCAGGCTGTTAATCCTGAGGGTAACCCGACACCGTTTGGAGGGGGCGTGCGGGTGACTAAAACATGTGAGTCTCTGCCCTCTTTCAGACGCCATAGAGTGTGAGAGATGCCAGCCGGAGTTCTGGTCCAATCAGGGCCGCGACGCGTGTGTCCCCAAGCAGCTGGATTATCTTTCCTTCCAGGACGCTATGGGCGGCACCCTCCTGGCGACGGCGCTCCTCGGGGCCTGCAGCACGGCCACTGTCGCTTTGGTCTTCGCTCGGTACAGGAACACGCCGGTCGTGCGCGCCAACAACTCGGAGCTGAGCTTCCTGATCCTGTGCTCGCTGGCGCTCTGCTTCCTGTGCGCCCTGGCCTTCCTGGGCCGGCCCTCGGCCTGGTCCTGCCGGTTGCGTCATACCGCCTTTGGCATCGCCTTTGTGCTCTGCATCTCCTGCATCCTGGGCAAGACTGTGGTGGTGCTGATGGCCTTCCGGGCCACGCTGCCAGGCAGCCGAGTCATGCGCTGGTTTGGCCCCGTGCAGCAGAGGGCCAGCATCTTCCTCTGTACCTTAGTGCAGGTGCTCATCTGCGGCCTGTGGCTGGGACTCGCTCCGCCGTCGCCGCGGAGACTGCTGGCGCGCGAGAGTGCTCACATCCTACTGCTGTGTGACGTGGGCTCCAGTCTGGCCTTCTCCCTCGTGCTGGGCTACATCGGCCTGCTGGCCTGCCTCTGCTTCCTGCTGGCCTTCCTGGCCAGGAAGCTGCCCGACAACTTCAACGAGGCCAAGTTCATCACCTTCAGCATGCTCATCTTCTGCGCCGTCTGGGTGGCCTTCGTGCCCGCCTACGTCAGCTCGCCGGGGAAGTACTCCACAGCCACGGAGATCTTCGCCATCCTGGCCTCCAGCTTTGGCCTCCTGGTCTGTCTCTTCTTTCCTAAGTGCTACATAATTTTGCTAAAACCAGAGAAGAACAACCGAAAGAACATGATGACAAAATTGACATCAGGGAAGCAATATTAGATTGAAGTGTAATTTTTGGTCCTGTAATATATGAACTGCAAAAAATGGATTCCTCAGATCCTATTTCTGCATTTTTTTCTGTACCGAGTAGTATGTAGGTATGAGAAATGTATAGAACCTGAGCACTAAGCCTACTATGTATAATGACTAGTTCCTGGTGTGAGAAAAAGAGTCACACCAGTATGCTTTGGTGTTTAAAGGGAAGCAAAATGAATCTGTCTCCTTTTAGTCCATCTACAGCATCATTGTGGCCCATGTGGGGACACTGTTTGGGGAGCAGCGTTCAAGCAAAAATAATAAAGAGCAGTGTGGTTTGGAAAATGTGGGTGGCACTGCTATACCATACACTGTATATCCATTCATCTATCTTTCAACTGCTTATCTTAATCAGGGTCGGGGGGGGGCACAAGGCAGGGTAGACCCTGGAAGCGATACCAGTCCATTGTCGGGGGCATACACACAAAATGATTTACTAGAGGTCATTTAGAAGTGCCAGTTAGCTTAAGTGCATGGACTGTGGGTGCAAACGAGAATGTCTGGAGGAAAACTGCATTATAGAGGGAGCCAGGAGAACCTGCAGAGCACATGACAATGTACTATATATGTATGCCATCTGCTATTATTAATGTTGTGACAATCCTATGACGTCTCTGACTCTTTAATTTGCCGAAATACCTCATCTGTAACCATTCGTAATGTCCTTAACACAAGAGGAAAGGGAAGCAAGCAGCCACACGGCATCTGTGTCACTTATAAAGATTATACAGGCGGCTGCTGCTTCGTCAGTCCTGCCTGCACTCTGGCTTTGGGGGTTTGGGGGTTTCGGGGGTGGGGGGGTAAACCAGACCTGCGTTCCGTAGGAAATGCATGGAGAAGCAGCTGTCAATGACTAATTAAAATCAGTGTCCCCTGAGATTCACTACATGAAAACAGTGCAGGTGACACCCCCCTTAGCCTGACCCCCACAGTAATAAACAACCTGTTTCCATCATAGGCCATCCTCTCTGACCCCCCACCATCACCACCACCATGCATAACCCCTGATATCTGATGCTACGTTATTATATTTATCAATTTATTTTGTGATGGAGGGGGGTTGGTGTAGGAATGGTGCTTCCGTCAGCCTGTGGGCATGAGGCCCCTGCACTGAACTAATGTCACTTAATGACACATAATGACCAAAGCGCGGTACAGTACACAGGACACACACTGTGGCTTTGAACTCAGGCTGCAAGGAACGGAATGTGGTCCACCTGGTTTGAAATGTGTTGAAAATGGGCTGGAAATGGCCCATAATTACCAAACCTTTGTGTTTGCTGGTTTGTGCTTGAAGGCGATTATAGATTTTGGAGCTATTTTCCAGGAATCCTCTAATCAGAGAGTGACTTTGCATGTTTTGGCTGAACAAACTTGACAACAATCTATGGCAATTATACTGTATTTAAGTATGTTTTATTCCTGTTTGGAATTGTAAAATGTTCTGTTTGTCAAAATAAAATAATTAAGTCATTCATCCTGCTCACAAATTAAGGCTGAAATTAAAATGTTGGTGTTAAAAAAAAAAAAACCTTTTTTGTCTTGTCATCCTGTTAAACAGATCTTAGGAACAAAGAAACCATGCATACTCAATTTTTTCTTATCTTTTAACCCATCCCAATTAAGCCTATACACATGTGTGTGTGCGTGTGTGTGTGTGTTTGCACCCGTGCGTGTCCTTATGCACTTTGATTTCCCCGAAGGTGCTGTTCTCATTAATCGGACCCTATAAAGCCTCGGTGCCGCTCACTGTGGGTCACCCCGCTGAAGATGCATGCTGCGCTGGCACTCTGGCTGCTTGTCCTCGGCCCTGGCGCCGCACAGGACGTCTGTCAGCGCTGGGAAGACCTGGACACCTCGGTGGTTCACAAGAGCGGCGATGTGATCCTGGGAGGCATGTTCCCCATCCACTCCAAAGGCGTGGAGGAAGAGCGCAGCTTCAGGACGCCTCCGGATCAGAGCCGGTGCAGAGGGTAACGGGGAAGGGAGCTTGAGGGAGGGACTGGGAGCTCTGGGCAACTAGTTACCGCTAGCTGAGTGGGCTACCACCCAGGTACTACAATCACACAAAGCATGCAAAAGGTGCAGCTGATGAAAATGATCATTTTGTTTAGGTTTAACCTGAGGGTATTCCGCTGGTCCCAGGCGATGGTGTTCTTCATTGAAAAGATCAACCAAGACCCATCTCTCCTCCCCAACATCACCCTGGGCTACCGACTATATGATACATGCGGTATCGTGGGGCTATCAGTCAAGACCGCCATGTCTGTCATCTCTCAGCCACTGAAGAGGATAGGGGGGCAGTGTGGACCTCCCAGCATCTCCCTCATCATCGGTGACTCCGGCTCCACCCTCTCCATGGCCATCTCTAGGGTGCTCAACCTTTTCCGTGTCCCCCTGGTGAGCTGAGCAGAGAGGACTGTAAACATGTCACTTCCTGTCACACTCGATGCTTTCACTCCCACTAGCCCCACGTTGTCAGATCTTGCTTTTCTGTGTGCTCTCTGTCTCCAGGTCAGCTATTTCGCCTCATGTGCCTGCCTGAGCGACAAGCGTAAGTTTCCGTACTTTTTCCGGACCATTCCGAGTGATGTGAACCAGGCGGATGCCCTAGCACGTCTGGTCAAGCACCTCGGCTGGACGTGGGTGGGCACTGTAGGGGCGGACGACGACTACGGCCGCACGGGCATCGACATGTTCACAGCGGCAGTGACCCGGCTGGGCGTGTGCGTGGCCTACAGGGTGGTCATCCCCAAGATCCCCACCAGAGACAGACTGCAGGAAATGGTTAAGACCATCCGCAGGTCTACTGCTCGGGTGATTGTGGCCTTTGCCATCGAGGAGGACATCCAGCCTCTCATTCAGGAACTCATCCATCAGAATGTTACAGGTAAACAGTGGGTGGCCAGCGAGGCCTGGGTCACATCCACCCTCATCTCCACCCAGGAAAACTTCGCCTCCCTGAGTGGGACCATCGGCTTCGGCATTCGCCGGGCAGACATTCCCGGCTTCAAGCACTTCCTGGAGAGCCTAGAGCCGCTGGCCGCACCCTACAACCCTTTTGCCAGGGAATTCTGGGAAACGCAGTTTCAGTGCTCTCTGAACACGACGGCACCGTACGCCTTTACGGCTGAGCTGCCACAGTACGGGAGCATCTGCACTGGGTCAGAGAGCATCAGGGAGACAAACAGCATCTACAATGACGTGTCCCAGCTCCGGGTCACCTACAACGTGCACAAAGCCGTGTATTCTGTGGCCCAGGCGCTGCATGCCCTGCTGGGATGCGGGAGGCGCAAGGGCTGCGCAGACCCCCGAGAGCTGCAGCCCTGGCAGGTGAGTGCATTGCATATCCCACTAGATGCCTCCGGCCCACTGATTGGCTGAAGCTCCTAATTACCCATGAGGAGGGAGCACCAATTATCCAAATTAAATTACATTAATCCATCCATCCATCTTCCAACTGTATATCCCAGTCAGGCACACTTGGTGGGGGAGGGGATCTGAAGCATATGCCATGGAGAATCGGGCACAAGGCTCGTGTACAGGATGCTACTCTAAATGATATTAATACAGAAAAAAAATTAAATATAATTATATTAGTAGAACAAACCGTTTCAGTAAGACAGCTCATTTTCTGAGCTCATAGGTAGTCAGAGATAGAGAAAAGGAAGACAGATGAAAAGATAGGACTTCCTGCAGTTTACAGCGCTGTCATCTGCGTGACCATGGAAACCGATGGGATTAAAATCCGTAGGTGGTGCGGTTCCTGAAGGAGGTGAACTACTCCAATTCCTTCGGCGACGTCGTCTACTTCGACGAGAACGGCGACCCCGTGGGCTCCTATGACATCATCAACTGGCAGAGGGAGGGTACGGGCCCCGTGACCTATGTGACGGTGGGACGCTTCGATGCCACCCTGCCGTTCGGCGAGCAGCTGGTCCTGCAGCAGGCAGACATCGTGTGGCACGGCGGCCGCCGGGAGGTAACGTTAGATCAGTGCCATGACAGCACCGGGGGAAGTCAGTGTTCAGAGCAAACGACCGTGCATTAGGCAGCATCATTAGGCAGAAACGGGAGACTCGCTCTCTGTCCTAATCGGCAGCGGATCATGTTTTACTTAATGGTTTAGGCTCCTCTATGTTCCACTGGCTGGATGTGTAATTTGTATAAATATTGGGGAAGTGATTTTTAAAAGTTAGAGGATGAAAACAGGAAAGAGAGAGGCCTTTTTCAGAACTGAGATTCTGTTATTCGAGCTGTGTGTGTGTGTGTGGGTTTGCATAGATCACATCTGAGTACCAAATTGTCCCCAAAGTGTAGAAAAACCCGAAATTTCCCTACTTTTGGGGACATCTTTTGAGGTCCCCATTTGGATAACCTCAGTTTTATAAAAAAAATCTGTGAATGCAATCAAAAAAGTAAAAATGGCAAAAGTCACCAGGAGCCAGCGTCTGTGTGCTCTGTCACCTGCCTGTTTGTGTGTCTGCGTGTGCGCATGTCAGGAGCCGGCGTCTGTGTGCTCTGTCACCTGCCTGTTTGTGTGTCTGCGTGTGCGCATGTCAGGTGCCGGCGTCTGTGTGCTCTGACACCTGCCTGTTTGTGTGTCTGCGTGTGCGCATGTCAGGTGCCGGCGTCTGTGTGCTCTGACACCTGCCACCAGGGCTTCAGAAAAGCCACACGCACAGGGCAGCCGGTTTGCTGCTACGACTGCGTCGCCTGCGCCGAGGGCACCTTCAGCAACCTCACAGGTACGGCTGCGTGAACATCAGCCGCGTCCCTCTGCATTACACCGTAGCACGCAACCGCTGCACCCTCTCCTCTCAGACCAGGATGACTGCACGCCTTGCCCAGAGGACTTCTGGTCCAACGCGAAGCGTGACGGCTGTGTCGTCAAGGAGACCGAGTTCCTGTCCTACACGGAGGTCTTTGGCCTGACGCTGGCCGCGATAGCCATCCTGGGCGCAGTCAGCACAGCAGCGGTGGCAGCCATCTTCTCGTGGCACAGAGACACGCCGCTAGTGCGCGCCAACAACTCGGAGCTGAGCTTCCTGATCCTGTGCTCGCTGGCGCTCTGCTTCCTGTGCGCCCTGGCCTTCCTGGGCCGGCCCTCGGCCTGGTCCTGCCAGCTGCGCCGCACGGCGTTCGGGCTCAGCTTCGCGCTCTGCCTGTCCTGCTTGCTCAGCAAGACGCTGGTGGTGCTGATGGCCTTCCGGGCCACGCTGCCGGGCAGCAACACGGCCCGCTGGTTTGGGCCCACGCAGCAGCGGCTGGGTGTGTTTGCCTGCACTGCGCTGCAGGGGCTGCTGTGTGGGGTGTGGCTGGCTGAGGCCCCACCCTACCCGGTGAAGAACACATGGCTGTACCGTGACAGGATCATTCTGGAGTGCCACCTGGGCTCGCTGGCCTTCTTCTGCTGTGTGCTGGGATACATCGGCTGCCTGGCTGGTTTCTGCTTCATCCTGGCTTTTCTGGCCAGGAAGCTGCCTGACAACTTCAATGAAGCCAAATTCATCACCTTCAGCATGCTCATATTCTGTGCCGTCTGGATCACCTTTATCCCAGCNCACCTGCCTGTTTGTGTGTCTGCGTGTGCGCATGTCAGGTGCCGGCGTCTGTGTGCTCTGACACCTGCCACCAGGGCTTCAGAAAAGCCACACGCACAGGGCAGCCGGTTTGCTGCTACGACTGCGTCGCCTGCGCCGAGGGCACCTTCAGCAACCTCACAGGTACGGCTGCGTGAACATCAGCCGGGTCCCTCTGCATTACACCGTAGCACGCAACCGCTGCACCCTCTCCTCTCAGACCAGGATGACTGCACGCCTTGCCCAGAGGACTTCTGGTCCAACGCGAAGCGTGACGGCTGTGTCGTCAAGGAGACCGAGTTCCTGTCCTACACGGAGGTCTTTGGCCTGACGCTGGCCGCGATAGCCATCCTGGGCGCGGTCAGCACAGCAGCGGTGGCAGCCATCTTCTCGTGGCACAGAGACACGCCGCTAGTGCGCGCCAACAACTCGGAGCTGAGCTTCCTGATCCTGTGCTCGCTGGCGCTCTGCTTCCTGTGCGCCCTGGCCTTCCTGGGCCGGCCCTCGGCCTGGTCCTGCCGGCTGCGCCGCACGGCGTTCGGACTCAGCTTCGCGCTCTGCCTGTCCTGCTTGCTCAGCAAGACGCTGGTGGTGCTGATGGCCTTCCGGGCCACGCTGCCGGGCAGCAACACGGCCCGCTGGTTTGGGCCCACGCAGCAGCGGCTGGGTGTGTTTGCCTGCACTGCGCTGCAGGGGCTGCTGTGTGGGGTGTGGCTGGCTGAGGCCCCACCCTACCCGGTGAAGAACACATGGCTGTACCGTGACAGGATCATTCTGGAGTGCCACCTGGGCTCGCTGGCCTTCTTCTGCTGTGTGCTGGGATACATCGGCTGCCTGGCTGGTTTCTGCTTCATCCTGGCTTTTCTGGCCAGGAAGCTGCCTGACAACTTCAATGAAGCCAAATTCATCACCTTCAGCATGCTCATATTCTGTGCCGTCTGGATCACCTTTATCCCAGCTTATGTCAGCTCACCTGGGAAGTTCACTGTGGCCGTCGAGATATTTGCCATTTTAGCTTCCAGTTACGGCCTTCTTTTCTGCATTTTTGCACCAAAATGTTACATTATCATCTTTATGCCTGAAAAGAATACTAAAAAACATCTCTTATCCCAGCGAATGGCAAAATAATTTACCTGTCTGGCATCCAGACTTTTAAAGGAGATTTGATTTTGTGTAGCTTATGATAAGGATTTAAAAAATAAAAAAAAAGTTAATGACCACAATGGTTTTGTTTGCTAGTATGCGCTGGTAAGAATACACACACACGCGGGAGTTTTTTGTATGTCCATCGCAGTTTCCTGTGGCGTTTGTGGGATGATAAATCACCACCAGGGGGTGCTAAAGCCCTAGAATGCGATTTTGTGTGCAGCCATTGCCTGTAGAATCTCTGTGTGAAGTACTTTTCTCCTGTAGCTTGAATGCAAATGAGCAAAAAAAACAGAATCAAAATATATGTGATTCCTGTATGAACCGGTTATTAAATAATGTGTCTTAGAGCTTGTCTTTGTGTGGTGGCTAACAGTTTACTATTACTACATTAGTCAGAATGGGAGAGTTTTACAATAAATTTTAAACTGGCTTCTCGCCGTTCTGTTTTGGAGTTATTGACCTTCCCGTTCGACTCTGTGATCACGTGTTTATGTTAATCCAGTCAATAAGTGCCATCTAAACGCATCCTTTGTATTGGAGCTACAGAGGCGCCCATTCAAATGAATATCACGATGAAGAATGTGCGACAGAATTGCTGCGGGGCTCATCAAAGCTGAAAGGGCTGCACTAGCCACACTACACCTACCAATAAACTGATAGAGGGGTACTGTAGTTTTATAGCTAATAGTTTAATAGCATTCTGTCAGGCTGTGGTCATATGATCCCATTTACACTTCTTCAGTATTGCCTTGATATAACGCTGGCTTATTTACATTTACATCACCCATGGAACATTCTACGCATCAGTCTCTGGCATTTCTCGTAATGATTTTTCTGAATGAACTCCCTGCAAACAGGAATAATTGCATCATTTATAAAGATTCCCCTTTTCCTCGGTTGTGAAAACTTGAGAGCCTTTGTTTTCGCACAGTGAAAGGTCTCCATTTTCTTCCTAGGGTGTGAGGTAAGACTGAGTGCTCATGTTACTGACATCCCTCACTGCACTGTGCAGTGATTAATTACTGGCGACGTCCCTGATTGGTTAATTACCCAGTGGGGCAACATTACACTGCTTTTATTTTACTTGTCTCTCTCTCCAAATGCAACTGACCACATCTCCTTCCCCTCCTCACTCCTCTGCCCTTCCTTCAACTGGAGGAGATGCAGAGAATCTGTGTCACGTGCGAGAGGAGCACAGCCCCACCGTTTGTCCCCTTTGGGGGCCTTTCGGGCTTTAGTGACACTGTGAGCCCCACCCACACACGCAGCTTGGATTCCAGCTTCTGGCAAATCTACACCAGGGGCAGTTTGGCTTCACAATGGGGCGATTCAGAGAAGCTCAGAGAACACGCTGTTCTACCTCAGCTCACTGGGAGACTTGGCCCAGGTCACTGACACTGTGGCCCAGTGGTCTCCCTGTTTGGGGAGCACTGTGGGGTAACTGGACCTGGTAATACCCACTGGGATATAAGTATCTGGGCTGCAATTTGACTGGGATCAGCACCGTTCACGGGGGGTTAAGTGATTCCCACACAAGCCAAACAGTGGTGCAAGAGTTCTGACTCCAGCTGAGAGCTGTCAGGGTCATAGAGGCAACTTTGACGATGAGTGATTGATGGACATTTATTTACGGTACAATATATTTAATAAATGTAACATGCCAAAATGACACACGAAAAGCAGGCCACATTCACGATCCAGCTAAACATTCAAACAAGATTTTTTAACATTTAACTGACACTTTTATCACGGCAATGAGCTTCTAAGAGTCATTGATGCTAAAACTGAATAAGTAATGAACAGCGCCCTTCACAGACAGCTGTTGGGTTATATATCAGCCTAAAGAGTCATATGTGGATCAGCAAAGCAGCGTTTCCATCTATGGGAGCTTCTTAATATTCCTTCCTTTCATTTCGCCATCATGCTCTTCTTTGTATTTTTTTCTGGCTTCAATAAAATCATGTAGCACTTCGGGGCAAAGATGCATAACAGAAGTCCATAGCTGGAGGCCAGGATGGCGAAGATCTCCACGGCGACCGTGTACTTCCCCGGCGAGCTGATGTAGGCGGGCACGAAGGCCACCCAGACGGCGCAGAAGATGATCATGCTGAAGGTGATGAACTTGGCTTCATTGAAGTTATCGGGCAGCTTCCTGGCCAGGAAGGCCAGCAGGAAGCAGACGGCGGCCAGCAGGCCGATGTAGCCCAGGATGAGGCTGAAGCCCAGGGCCGACCCGATGTCACACTCCAGGACCAGCTTAGGGCTGTGGCCTGTGTTCTCAGACGGTAAGGGAGGGGCCTTGGCTAGCCACACCACGCAGATCACCACCTGAATCAACGTGCAAAACAAGAGTCCCATCCGCTGTTGGGCCGGGCCAAAGTAGCGCATGATATTGTTACCTGGTAACGTAGCCCTGAAGGCCACCAGCACTACCACCGTCTTACTGAGGACGCAGGAGACACAGAGGACAAAGCTGATTCCGAATAGGGTGTGTCGCAGCCGGCAGGACCAGGCCGAGGGCCGGCCCAGGAAGGCCAGGGCGCACAGGAAGCAGAGCTCCAGCGCCAGCAGCAGCAGGAAGCTCAGCTCCGAGTTGTTGGCGCGCACCAGCGGCGTGTCCCTGTGGCGGAAGAACACGGCTGTGACGGCAGCTGTCAGGGCGGCCCCGGTCACGGAGAGCACAGTGAGGACGACACCCAGGGTCTCTCCGAAAGACAGGAACTCCACCTCCTTCAGCACACACTCTGTGTGCAAGCTGTTGGACCAGAATCGTTCTGGGCACTTCATACACTCAGTGGAACCTTAAATACAACAGCAATGAAAAAGGATGCATCAGAATTAAATAACACATTCCCCAGTTTCCCCTAGCATCAAGATGTGCCAGTGCTGTTCACTGAAGTTTTCAGCGTTACAGTAGGTACTGCTGGAGGAGGTTAGAGACCAGTGGCACCTGTCTGGTTGTTGACATGCCCATCTGCGCAGGGCAGGCAGTCAAAGCAGCAGACAGGTTTTCCTCTCTGGAGAGCTCTCCAGGTACCTGGGGGACAGGGCGCGCTACACTGAGACACGGGGACCTGTGGAGACAACAGGCCACACACCTGACACCCCAGCCCCACTGAAGCAGGCAGCAGGCAGATGAGAACCAACGCCAAGCCTCACAGGCAGTAAAGAGGGCGCCTGCAGTCACATGCTTCAGGGTGACCTTCCAGGGCACTTTTGTTTGTTATTCCTGGACAGCAGCCCTATTAATGATCACCTCTGGCATCGCACGGCGTCTGAATTCATTCCAGAACTTTCCCACAGGCTACAAACTCCATTCTGTGTACGTCGATCTGAAAGGCTGTAATTAACACGCTGGCATGGTCTAATCACTAGTGAAATCTGTCATATTTTTAGCCACGCTCGCACACAATGCCGTCTCTATGAGTGATTGCCATCTGCGGGACCGAGGCGTCCATCAACAGCCTGGCTCCGTGGGGTCGGAAGGGGGGCGGAAAATTCCAGGAATCTGAATATTAACGTCAGAGATTTGTGGTATGTGAACTAAAGGCTGCCCACTGTGAACTTTCAAATGAAAGCGCAGGAGACAAAGCAGGTCACTCACCTCCTTTTGGGAGCCACCCCAGAAGACCTTCTTAACGTCGAACTCGAACGTGCTCCGAGAGCCGTCCACAGAAACAAACTGGCCCACCTTGACGAATTCCACCCGGTCCCCGGGTCCCCTGTGCCAGTTGATGATGTCATACGATGGCATCGGATCACCGTTATCATCAAAATGTATCTCCTCCCCAGCAGGTGTGGTGAAGTTTACAGCTCTGAGGTAATGAAGGAGCTTCCAGGAACAGGGGGTCAGGAAATGGACACGTCACAGAGAAGATCAAGCACAGATGTTAACCACATGCTGTGGATGCTCCATATACAGTACTTTACTCTAATACATATACAGTACTACATTATACTCCATTATACTCCTGATACAGAGTACAGCAAGAAAAAGTGGTGGAGTGAACTTTACCTGCCATGGCTGCAGCTTACTAACATCAGGGCACCGCTTATCCTCAAAGGGCCCTTGACCTGGCTGGCAGGCAAGCATGTTGTGCAGGGCGTGAGCGATGGCGTACACGGCCTTGTACACGTTGTTGGAGACCCTCAGCTGCGACACATCCGTGTAGATGTTTTCCACTAGATCCAGCCTCTCTGTTCCTGAGCAGCGGGATCTGGTTGATGCCAAGTGAGACTGTCGGTCCTCCAGGGAGCACTCAAACACAACTTCCCAGAATTCCCTGACAAACGGATCAGCACCGGATGAATTGGGATGAAGCCGGGTCAGGAAAGGCCAGAGCCCCTTGATGTTCCCCCTTCGCAGAGCGAAACCGATGGTGCCGCCCAGCGAGGCCATGAACTGGGGGGCAGAGAGCAGGCTGGATGTGACCCAGCCCTCTGTGGCGATCCACTGCTTCTCTGTGATGTTCTGCTTCACTACCTCACTGAGCAGGGCATGCATGTCTGGGGTGATGCCGAAAGTGACCACCACTTGGGCAGAGGACCGCTTAATGACGTCCACGATGCGCGCCATCCTCCGCTGCGAGTAGGACTTGGGGATGAGCTCGGAGAATGCCAGGCACACCTCCGAGCTTTGGAGCTCTCGCTGCAGCAAAGAGACGCCTGACTTCCCATAGTCATCGTCTCCGGCCACCACACCCACCCAGGTCCAATCCAGCAGGCGTAGCAGGCGAGCCATGGCACGTACCTGGAAGGCGTCGCTGGGCACCGTGCGCAGGAAGGTGGGGTATTTTCTCCAATCGCTCAGGCATGCACAGGAGGCAAAGTAACTCACCTGGGGTGGGGGCACAAAGCTCCAGTTAGGAACTAAACTAGTAGCACCATTAAATAATAATCTCAGTGTTAACTAATGCTCAACACAGTCACCATAGAATATCAGCAATGTAGCTATCATTATATTTCACACAGACTGTAGCTGACGAACACGTAAAATGCAATAACATAGAAGCCCCCAGATGGAAAACGAGGAGGCCATATTTGACTGGACGCTTCATGCAAGCCTGAGTCTGAATAGAATCTGCAATTGGCCTGGGAATAATTAGTTATCCGGGTTCACCAGTGGGATGCTGAAGACACTGAGTGTGCGGGCGATGGCGATGGAGGAGGAGGAACGGGCGTCCCCGATGATGACGGGTACAGCCGTGGCACCGCCGCATGTCACGTGGTCCTGCCCCGTCACCAGGGCCAGGGCGGCAGCCAGCGTGGTGCCCTCGGCAAGGCAGCTGTCGGCCACCACATAGCCCAGCGTCAGGTTAGGCAGCAGGGCTGGGCTGCGGTTGATCTCCTCCACGGCGAAGATCATTGTCTGCAGCCAGCGGTAAGAGCGCAGGTCGAACCTGGGGGAGTGACAGAGAGAGGGGAGGAAAGGAAACAGCATTGCTTAGCATTATAAGCGAAAGAATTCACTGGTGCAGCGAGATGTTATTACTTAGTCTGAGATATTATTCTGTACTCATGTGTCAGAGACAGACAGTGGTTCTCCATACAGGTTCTCTCACTCAAGGCAATTGGTGGCCACAGCTTGCTGGGTGAAGAGCTGGTCGGGATCGGGGGCCTGCATGTGTACGGGGAACAGCCCCCCCATGAGCACGTCCCCGTGCCGGTGCAGCACCCCCGAGGGCGGGCCGCCCACCGGCCAACAGGCCCCGTCCTCCAGTGCGCGGGCGGGGAGCAGCCAGAAGCACAGTAGGCACAACCAGGCAGCCGGGCCCATCTGGCAGGATCGGGACGTGGAGACGTGGGGCACACCTGCTTATGTACGCCGCGGGCGGCCTGGCATGTAAAAAAACAAGCCGTGCATCGATTAGGCCGAGCAAGCAGCGACGTGCAAGAAAATTGAGCTGTCCCTAGTGGAGCGCGGATAATCGGCGCCTCGCGCACACAGAGGAATCCCGCTATTGTTGTTTTTTCACCCAGACCTCCTTCGCCGGAGGACACTGGGTTCTTACAGCCTTGGCAACTCGCTTTGTTTACGATTCACTCCGGATCGCCATCGTTTTTTTATGACGCACCGTTTCCTGACAGATGCTGGTGTTTAACGATGCTGCTGGGCCCTGCCTTCCAGCACGGCGATGAAATTAGGAAACCAGCAACACGGCAAACCACGGAACATGGGGCATATGGCTGCAGACCAGGGTGCTCTTCCTGGGTAAAAACCAACAAGAAAAACCTAATTAGCGCCGTCAAACCATGTACAGCATTGACACATGCAGCAGTAAGGCAATGAAATTAGCTAACAAGCTGGCTCTGATCTTAGCTTAGTGCTAAACCCCTTCTCCAGGGTAATTCTGGGAGCTGCAGGGGAGTAATGGAGGTGCGCTCCATCTGTACTTTCATCACCGAGTTGCAGCTCCTTTCCCATTTCCATTTCAGCGCTGTGATTTAAAAATGGGCCTTTCTGGTCATAACTGCAGTTCCTTTGCTATTGTGCAGCCTTTGTCTGAGCCTGTCTGTTTGCATGTACGTGTCTGTCTACACATGTTTGTGTGTGATGGACCATTTTCACGGCCCTGGGCAAAACGGAATGGAGTAATTGCTAGTTAATGTGTCTGTTTTGCAGCGGCCTTGAGACAGGGAAGATCCAGCCCCCCCCCCCCCCCCCCCCCCCCTGCCCTATTATTTTTTTTTTTTTTTTTTTTTTTTTTTTTGTACGGCCCGCTTAAGGAGGGGAAAACCCCCCCCCCCCCCCCCCCCCCACATATTATAGTTGATTATAGTTATTGTGTTACTATTGTTTGTCTGGCGGTGACTTACTCAACAATATAAGGTCCTATTTGTTCAGAGTTGACTCTCAGCCTGAGAGACCAGCTGTCCTACTAATGTAGATTACAGGACAGTCATTGATTCAGCTCTGGTTACATTGCCTTCCATGCTGTTTAACTGGTGTGACTGAATGGGACCAGCAGAGATCATATAACAATGAAGCTGGCAGCTGTATGCTTCCTGTGTGCTCTGTAACCTGACTGACCTGACAGTTCAAAGAAGCCTTTACCCAATAGCTCCATTACCTGCCTGCAACGGCAACTCCATGACCTCCTGTTCAGATTCTTTAGCATGGTGAATCAGCCATTACTAACTGAACCATTGCTTCACCTTGGGGATAAAACATAATTTTGAACCAAAAAAATAACACCTGCTGGATCTAAAAGGGGTGAATCTTTATGGTTAGCAGTATAGATTGCAAACCCTTGGTCACAACTAGAGACAACTGTTGCTGATAGCATTTTCAGGTGTACTGCTCCAATGAAGACAAATATTTTCAGAGATGGATTCTTTTGTTAGCTGGTACATTCTAACATGATTCATTTGGCCTGCAAAATAGTCCTAGTTTCTGCCAAGAATCCCTTTTGTGGAAACAATTTAGCATAGCAAGGAAGTGGGAACGCAAGTCATCTTCTCACATGGCACAACTTCTCATACAGGACACACATTACACAATAAACAGCTTTGTAATCTGCATTTGCCCTTAATCTACATTGCCCAGTCTTTGGGGTCTTACAGGCAAGCAACATGAGGTCAATTGTCTGTTAGGTCTCTATTCTCTGGTATTGGAATTTAAGATAATCTCTTCCAATCTGTTTTCTGGATTTGTTACACGGCTAATCTGACCCCCTGTTCCATTACTGAGGGTTCTTCCATGTATCCGACCTCATTAAATATATCTTGGCTGTTGTTGTCATCTTTGCCATACAAGCCTTCAGTGTATTCCTTCCATCTTGATCTTTGTTCCGTCATTTTTTTTCTCCATTGTTGTCATTCAGCAGGCCCAATTGAGGTTGGAACCTCCTTTCACGTCCCCCTTTAATGTCCCTCCGAGACTATTTCTGTCACTTCTGTGAACTATATAATTAGCAGAAACAGGTCAGATGCACTTTGTCTGCCTGTCCAGCTGACATGTGAAGAACAATGGATTTCACCTTCCGCCTGAGCCAGCCGCTGGCATGGACACAGCATAGAAGGTCAGCTCACACTGAGATATGAGTTCCAGCCAAAATCATTCTGTGTCCCACACCCCTACGCTTTCACATCCCGCACCCCAAAAAGTGGAATCTGCCAAACAGTTCACAAAAGGTGTCAAGTAAGATGTGAGAAACGGCAAAATCTTGATTAACACTCCAAATCCCTTCTAGCAGGATGCGGTCCATGTGACATGTTAGTTTTTTGGTATTTGACTGTGACTCTCATATGAGGCAGGTGACCGTAACTCTGCAGCCTCATGACTCGCCCCCCCTCTGCAGCAGCAGCACACCGATGGAGTTTTTCTAACGTGACGGCACCTTCTGAAAGAGAGTGCAAACAGCTGCGGGGCTTTGGCCACTGGCAATATTTCGGCTTTTCCCCTGCGGGAGGGACCACTGCGGACCTGCTGCAGACAGATGACACGTGTGTCTATAGTGTGAGTTTTCTTATAGGCTGATGGAAATTGTGCATGCGTGCATGTGTGCGTGTGTGTGCATATGAGAGAGCGAGAGTATGTGTGAAAAGTAAGAGTGTGTGTGATTCTTGTCTTTTGTTTACGTGTATATATGCATGTGTACGCACAGCTGTTCCTAGAAGCACAGAGACACATTTAGGAAAGGGGTCAAGGGACACATTCCTGAGCCCCTTTATTAATTCATCCTGTGTGGAGCCCCCGTGCAGCGTGCCCAGGGTGTCTGCAAACCCGATCCATCCGGAACACAGAGTCAAAGGAATGGCGCAGGCAGGTAGGTCTCTGTCTGGTGATGACACCATTCTCAGCTAAAAACTGTGTGAATAGCTTGAAATGAATAGGCTGGATAGAGATACAGAGCAGATGAGATACCTAGGGGTACCTCTTTGTATGCACCCAGGGATGTTTGTCTCAAGAAAACATTAAGCTGATGCCCAGGTACCATCAGCTAAGTTGAATAGAAGTATTTACATCAGTTCTTAATGACTCGAGGGTGTAAATGTTTTGTATCTTTTCACGGAAAGCTGAATGTGATGCATTGAGTTCTAGATTCATTTACATGATATTTGTCCATGTTGGCAATTCAATAACTCGTGAATTCAAGGACCCCGTTACCAGACAATTTCTACATTTCATAACATATGCAGCTGACCCAAGGCAACAATGGCAGAACTGGGTGGGTGGGTGGGGGGGGGGCTCCAAATGCTTTATCCACGTAGAAGAAGATCAAAGATCATTCATTCCCTGAAACATGTTGGTATGTAGAGCACACTGGCAATATATTTGTCTATGATATTAGTGGCTTTACTACATGACCAGCCCACCGAGGGAAGCCTTTATCCTCTGTGGACACCTACTCGCGCTTAGGTGACGCTTTGCAGGAGACTGAGGTGAGGTAAAGAGTTTGGACATTTATATTTACATACAGTCCAAGGTCTCAGAGCTGATATCTGGGAGGTTTATTCCAGAATTCAGATGGAGAACATGCTGCAACTATAACACGTGGAAGGAGGCTGAGGAAGAAACTTAAGGACAAACCCTACGCCACACACCTGAGAATTCGACGACTTCACCTTGATTTTTCCTTCTTCCCAATCGAGACACTTCTCACGCTACTTATTTGCCAGTGATTATGAAAGATTCATTGCAACACATGGCGTCACATTGTACTCAGACAACCAGACAACCTTGTTCTTATCAGGGTCTAACATGACGCTTGTGCTTAGGGTCCCCTGCTTTAAGGTTTTTTTTTGTCCCCAACTGCAGGTCAATTGGACGTCTCTCGTCTAGTGGTGCCAGCACTACTCATGCTTGGCTGGATTGTGGGATGTGCAGTAGTTGTGTACTGGGTCTTCAACTAGGTCAGTGTACCACCAATATTGTGAGATTGAATGACAAGCTCATTATATAGTTAAGAGTTAATTTCAAAGAAAAAACATAATAAATCATATTAAATTACTTACAGCTCAAATTTTATACCTTATTCAAGGTTTTAACATGCATTTAACCTGTGTAATCAGTGGCTTGTACTATGAAGCGGGGTTACTGGCTTATCGGGGTAACTTGTCAGATTTAAGGTACCACAGTTTAAATGGACTTCATATTCGTTCACTTACATTTTGACCAGACTACCTTAAATCTGACAAGTTACCCTGATAAGCCAGTAACCCCGCTTCGTAGTACAGGCCCCAGGTGTAGAAATCTGAATCCAACTACTTTTTGTGCAAATGTATTCTCTTTTCACAGGAAAAATGTTAAGAAGTGACGGAGGATATAACACACTATGAGCTGAAGACAGATCTGTTGACGTTGCTGTGTGTCTTTGCATGTGTATGAACATGCATAAATCTTTTGTAAAGTTCTTTTGTAGCAGTAAACCACTATGGTCCTGGTCACGGAAATGGAATGACAGAGACCCCTTCATCAGCTTTGGGACAGGGTGGTGATTTGGCTCACTTCCAGGGGTTTCTGTCTTGGGAAAATGGCCCATTTGTCACAAGCCTGGCCCTGGTGACAAGGGAGGCAAATACCACACGTGTCTGCAGGGGCTCATGGGATATGGAGCAAACCAGCTGTCACGCCATTTTTCCACTCTGATTTTCCAATATCCTCTCCTGCCTCCATGCATGTCCTGTGCGCCTGGATGCCATTATAGTGCAGGAGACACTGGAAGACAGCTCCTCTTGAAGGTCATTTGAGGGTTGCAGGAAAGCAGCGTTTTTCTGGCTGTAAATGTAGTCCTGATGCACGTGGTTGTTTTCCATCTTTTATTCCACAGACTGTCAGCACCATAAACAAGCACTCCATAGAGCAATAAGACAAACAACTGGGTATGATAAAACTGTCAGTGACTTGTTAGAAATGTTTAATTTCCCATGCCTTGAATTTTGAATAAAAATATGAAAATGGAGGACATTATCTCAGCTGGCTCACTACAAATGTGATCTCATCACCCACCCCCCCCAAATTATATGGAGAAGATGCCACATAATCTTGGATGGACATCACATAACTGCTTATGTCCCTGTGCTGCTGGGCACAAGCTTCAGACTTCCAGCAACTCAGAGGAACATGGATGGATGGATGGTTATGTTCTAATGGGTGTGTGTTATTTGTTGTTGTTCAGGTGAACTCTGGTACAATGTAGACTTTTACACACATTTCTTGATTAGTACACAGGTAAAATACGATTTTTGACATTCTGCGTGGTTAGGCCCCAACTAACACAAAAAAGTTTTCCCACATATATACCTTCCTGAAGACCTCCCCAGCAACATTCCTACCTTGCACCTTCATAAAAGGCCTTTTGGAAACTAACCAATCAGATCATCATGTTACAGAGCGCGAGCGGGATGAAAAACAAACTAGCCAATGAATTTACAGTATCCGAAAAATTGTGCTTTGGTCGCTCGAGACCGTATCAGTGAAAGACGCCTCCAAGTATTAAAAAAAACCTAAACTAATCGTGTTGTTTAGTACATTTTAAACTGGAAATACGCGACACTGTGTAACGGTCGAAGCTTGCCATAGTCTGGTTAATTAATGACTGTCAACCCCAGGAATACGTCCCTCACAGCAGAGCCTTCGAAGAACTGGCTTACAGCCTTTTTCGTAAACATTGTGAGCGGAGAGCAGGTTGCTGAAGTTAGCATGCAGTGTCGCCGAGTAAGTACAGTGTTACATGATGTGACCACAAGGTGTCAGCTTTTAGCTCAGTTACTGTATACGGGGCTGCCAACTCTGCGCTGACGTGACACACATGCTCACGCAAAAACATCTTACGGCAGATCTGTAATAATCCATTATAAACCTAAAATGAGCTACATCAAAAGCTTCGGAGTAGTTTGCAAGCCCTACAGACTATTTACAAGGTAATTAAGCTGTTACATACATGTAAATGAGTGTGCAGACTTGTCTCGAATTGAAAATCTCATGACAGCCAGTTGACCAAAGTTGGAAACCCTGATTCTTATAAGAGCGGTTTTGTTGGTTCGTTTTGCTCATCTTGCTTTTGTAGAAATGCCACGACATACTATACTTGTTCTACAGCTTTCTATATGCCTAGATACTGATTAGAAGCTAGCGCATATGATTTTATTGTTTGGTTGCTGAAATGTTACGGAGGAAACTAACAGTCATTTCCACTAATTTAACTCGAACTTTAGCAGGTCCTTCCCGCTTCCTCCACTTGGCTATCACTTGCTCGTTATCATCCTGTTAAAATTCATTGTGCTTCGCAATATTTATGGTATTCTGTTGGGTCAGTTCTGTTCATTCCATGCACTCGCGTGTTTTTCCTACCTCCTAACTAACTGAGGCAAAAGTTGTTTCGGGTGTTTTTTCCACGATATCATATTCTGGTTGTAGGCAGGGAATTTATCCGGCTCCAGTGTCACGTGGGCCGCCTGCGCCGTCGTTCTCAACACCACAAAAATGGCTGCTGGAGGCAGGGAGGATGGCAGCTAATATTACTCAAGAGTTTGATTTCACTTTTAGATAAATTGAAAGCCAGTCTGTACCTTGTTAGCATTCACTTCTGACCCTGTGACTGAAAAGGTCACACCAGGCAGCTGGCACTGCCCCCAAACCCAAACACCCACCTGCTCACCCCCAGTTGCTCTATCGTAAGTCTGACTTATCTTTGTTTTTTCCTGCCTTCCACTTTAACGTAACTATTTCATGTTATGCCTCCAGTTTTTAGACTGACCCATTTCCATATTTCTTTTTCACTCTAGCTACTGATTTTAGTTTCCCCCAGTTGGATATTGGAAGCAAAGTTATGGGTAATTTTGTGATTTAATTACTTTTTAATTATTTAAAACTACTTTAACAGAACCTAAAGAGTAACACAAGCATTTTGCTTTTATAAAAAAGGTAAACACATAATGTTTTTCATTTTATATTAAATTATTGCATTGCAACAAACTCAAGAGTATTTTGCTTGGTTAGAATGTCTCATAGTTCTTTAAAAGCAATGTTTTGCAGTAGTAAACGCTTAAGAGACTTGTTTCCAGTCTTAGATGCTGATTGATCAAAAGACATTTTAAGCGGTGCTTAAAACACTTGTGGAGAGTTTGCCTGATTACCTTACTGTGTCAAATATCACTGCGCTAAGAAGATTCTGTTTTACCATGAATGATGCTGACAGCAGAAATGGTGACATCATTTAAATGACAGATGGTGGAGTCTGAAATGGTACATACCTTCAAGAGATTACAGTGTGTGGTTTATTTTGTGCTGTTTTTATGTAAAGATGCAGGATACAGGATACAGGTTCATGCCGCTGAAGTTATTCGGGAAAAGGCATGTGATATTGTTTTCCATACGCTAAAGAAATGGCTTTACTCATGAAAATCACAATGGTTGCAGGTACATTGGTTAACCTCATGTCCAAGAACAGCCTTTCATTTTAAAGCACTGCAATCCATTGCTGTGATGCTTATGTAAAATAATTATCACCTTTGACTAGAGGATGTTTCAAAGACATTTCATATTTTGGATCATCAGCATCTCACTGCCTCTATCTTTGGTCCCAGTCATTTTTCATCAAAGTTGCATCAAACCAAAGTCTGTCAAGAAATTTGAGGTTGTAGGCAAAAAATAAACTGTATGAATAAATAGTATGGCATTGCAGTGAATGTTAAAGTGAGCCTGTTATCACTGCACATGTGCCTGTGGGTAATGGTGGTAAAACCTGTTAATTTTTAACTTGTAGGGACATTTTTCAGGTCTCTACATTATAAACCTTCATTTTATAAAATATCTCTGAATGCAATCAAAAAACTAATATAGCCAAGTGTGTTATTTTGTTTCATTACTTATGGTTAAGTTTAGGGCCAGGTTAGGGTTAGAAGAGTCAGAATTAGGGTTATGCCAGTAGAAATGAATGGAGAGTCTCCAAAATGATAGGAATATTATATGAAGTGTGTGTGGTTAATGCTTTGGCCATGTCAGTGTGTGAGTGCATGTCTAGCATTCTGCCTGCATGTCATGGTGAGCTGCCATTGCTCAGGTTTCAGCTATGGCTGCTGCCTGTCACCTGAGTGCCAACAACTGTGCTTTTAATCAGAAGGGGGGCACCGGCGGGTATATTTAACATGTCCCGAGGACAGCCATAAATATAGTAGGGGCAGTACCTGCAAATGGGGCATGGAGAAGATGGCGGGTCTGCAAGCTCCATTAAACACAGTCACAGCATTTACAGAATACTGCAGTCATGTGATTAGCGGTGGTCAGCTGTGAGTCATGGTGTCTGCAAAGGGAGGCCTTCTAATGTGCGGCACTCCTGACAGTTTACAAAAGAAGTGTAATTGTGTTGCAAATACCGAACATCTGCTTTTCATGTTCGCGATGTCATGGATCACAAGACTGCTGTATCCCCTAAGATGGGAGAAAAAACTTTGATGGTAACTGGGACATAGTCAAAGAACAAACAAAACACATTTCTGTTTAGAATTTATTAAATAAAATTTCTTTGAAGATGCTCATTAAAAAGTATCTAAATACAGGCATCTGAGGTATATCTGACTGTCCCTCTACCAGAACGACAGATGCAGAGGGAAGCTGCTTCATGTGAAAATTGACCAGAATAATAATGATTACCTGTCAGTGAAAATCAAGTATAAAACTAGACAAACGTTAAAAAATGAACTCTGCAAAAGAAAACACCATACATCCATACACTTCAGCTATATATTTTTTGACAGAGTGCTATTGTATGGCAGTGAATCACTTTAACTGAGAGGACCTAATGTAAAGGAAAATGGAAGAATATAAATCTTAAAAGTCCACCAATAAACTTACTTAGCAATAACACGGTCGTTTTCAGTTTAAATTTTAAATTTGTTTCCTGGACAAACTAGCATGGAGGCACAGTTTGCCATAAAATGTGCTTTGAAAGCTTAATAAATATTACAATGGAGTCCGTAACACACGACATAAATATAAAGCTGGATTTATTGAATATGAGGTCATTAGCTATAAAGGCACTGCTTATAAATGATTACATTACTGATCATGGTCTAAATTATGCTTAACAGAAACTTCGCTTTAAGCAAAATGACTACATTCTTCTATATAAGTCTGCTCTTCCTGGGTATGCTTATATGTATATAAGCCCAGATATCTCGAGGTGATGGTGTTGCTGTTATCTTTGATTGCAAAATTAGGGTGTGAATTCAACACATTTGAATTGATGGTATTTAACGTGACTGGCGTAGCGACATGCAACCCTTCCTGAAATGTCATTATGGTTGTTTAAAGATCTCCTGGCCCCTTCATAAAGGAATTTGCTGATTTCTTAACTAGCTTGATCATACATATAGATAAAATTTTCATTGTTGAGGATTTTAATATCCATAGGGAAAATTATAGTAATCTTCTCAGGACAGCCTTCATCTCCATTCTAGGTTCTGTAGGTTTTTAGATTTGGTTCTTAGCTGTAGTGTTTCTGTGGAACGTGGACATTCTCCCACTAAACTCTGCTATCTCAGACCATGCATTGGTGATGTTTGAGATTCAGACAAGGGCAACAACATTGTCGGCTCCTAAGCACTACTTCAGTTGTTCGATCAGCGCTTTGACTGCTGCAATTCTCGATTAAACACACTATACACGAAGAGACAAGGCCAGTAGTGAGGCTGAACTGGAACTTGTGTTCCAAATGGTTGAGCAGACATTTGGTAGCAGACTTTACTGTGTTGCTCCATTAAGAAGAAAACTTAACGACAAGATACACACATCCTTGGTATACAGACCAAACACGTGAGTCTAAGGAAGCCACACATAAAATAGAATGCAAAAGGAATATCACCAAGTTAGAGGTTTTTTGATTGCCTGGAAATGAAGTGTTTTAACATACAGATATTCACTATCTTAAGACCATACCTCTCCAGGCTGATGGAAGACAACAAAAACAATCCCAGATTCCTATTTGGAACTGTCGTGTCTGACAAGTAATCATGCAACAGTGGACTCGCAGGGTCCAGTAACACATAGCAGCAATGATTTTATTGTGTTTTTTGATGACAGCCAATATTAGGGAGACTATTCGGAGTGTTACATTGGTTGTTCATGACATTCAGATATCTGGCTCAGCTATGTCAGATAGAATAAATCAGGAGATATTTGAATTCTGATCTACTGAACCTACAATCTTTTTGTTAGATAACATACCTGCAAAGCTGTTTGAATAGATTCCACCACTAATACGTAACACATTACTTAATATAATACAGATCTTTAAGACTGGGGTATGTCCCAAATTCACTCAAAGTTCCTATTGTCTGACCCATCCTCAAGAAACCAAATCTGGATCCCAGTTGTTTGGTTAATTATAAACACATTTCTAACCATCCATTTAATTCTAAAATCTTAGAAAAATGTAGTTGCTAGTCAGCTCCCTCTGTTTTTGGCAAAGAAACAACATTAATGAAATGTTCCAATCGGGGTCCTCATCACAGTACTGAAACTGCACTATTGAGAGTCATGAATGACTTGCTTATGGCCAGGATGATGGATGAATATCCCTGTTGATCCTACTGGATCTAAGTGCACCATTTGATATTGTTGACTGTGATATTTTATTGGTAAGGTTGGAGTCTTTGGTTGGTGTTAAAGGGCAGGCATTGTTCTGGTTCTGCTCATATTTAACTGACTGTTTGAGTTCATCCATGTGAGCAATGAATCCTCTGAATCCCACCATGTTCTCTCCTGGGTCCAAAACTGTTCACCTAGTACATTCTGCCTCTTGGTGATATTATTAGGAAACATAGTGTGAGTTTTCATTGTTGTGCAGATGACACACAGCTATACATAACTGTAAAAACAGATGAACTATCACAACTGTCAAAGACTAGAGGATGCTTGCCTGAAGTTAGGAGCTGGATGACCAGTAATTTCCTTCTGTTAACCCCTGACAAAAGAGAGGTGTTACTACTGGGCCCTAGGACAGCCCAGGGTGCTGTTGATGGCATAAAGCTTGATGGCTGCCTAGTCAATGCAAGCACAGTGGTTTAAGGTCGGTGCCACAATTGACTGAACCGTTTCTCTGGATGCTCACATTTACAGCATTTAGCAGATGCTCTTATCCAGAGCAACTTCCATTTTTTTTTCCTGAATTCAGAGACAGTCCCCCTGGAGCAAATTGGGGTTAAGGGTCTTGCTCAGGGACCCAATGATGGTAGTGCCAGAGGTGGCACTCAAACCCACGGTCTCTTGGTCCAGAGGCAAGTGTCTTAACCACTATACTTAACACATAAATACAAATGTGGTTAAAACAGCTGTCTTCCATCTGAGGAATATTGCAAAATGTAGAACAATGCTTTCACTTGAGGATGCAGAAAAGTTAGTACACCCCTATATAACCTCTAGACTGGACTATTAGTTGGGTGCACCGTGCACCTCTGCATCATTAAACAAACTCCAATAAGGACTGTGAAATGTGAGCAGATTAGCCCTGTACTAGCATCAATCTGCTGGCTTCTGGTTAGGTCTCATATCAACTATAAGGTATTACTGCTAACCTATAAGGCACTGGATGGTCTATCACCAGAGAACATTAGCAGTCTTTCTAGTTTCGTATAACCTCACTTGTTTGTTCCATTCTCCGTGGGGTGGGCTACCTGGCAGTAGGTAGTGTGGAACAATCTTGGTTGCAGAGCATAATGTTACAGAGTCTACCAGCAAACGCCTGAGATTCAGACTCACTCACGGTATGGAAAGCCAATGCTGAAAATTCACTTGTTTAGTCTAACATATGGTGACAAAATTAATAGCTAACTTTTACCCCCAGCTAGGATTACAGTGTGAGACACAGAGTTGGTTGGGGATCAGTGTCATTGACTCTGTGTGAACTCGGTGTCCAGTACTCTCATTCTGGCTTAACCTGTCACATGAGTGCTGGTGTTCAGGGATTTTTCATGTCTGTGTTCCCTCCCACCTTTCCTGCCTAGTTAAGCTGCCATAGTTAATTAGACCTGCCAAAGACACCTTATCTGCATACTGCACTACAAATTACTCCACATAATGTCACTCAGGTCGCCCAGTTTAATTAACACACTGCTCATTTCTTCCCTACAACGTGGGGGATTCTGTTAGGGATGCACTGATCGATTGGCTAGTGACCGGAAATGGCACATTTTCATCCCGAATGGCACTGACCAGCACTCGGCCAATCAGTCTAAATATGGCTGATTTTATAAGCCAATCAAGTACTTTTTGAACCAACCAGTGGTGATCGATATGGCGATATTTTATGATACTCAATTGCAATTGCATCCACAGTACACAGTTCAGAGGTATTGTAAGAATCGAGATACAGCACTACATTTACATCTACATTTACATCTACATCTACATTTACATCTACATCTACATTTACATCTACATCTACATCTACATTTACATTTACATTTACTTAGCAGACCCTTTTGTCCATACCGACGTACAAGTGAGGCAAATAGTACATTACATGTGCACTACTTCACACTATTATTATAACAACAAACCGGCAAGTACCTATCACGTGATGCCTGTGTGTCCGGACGCTGCAACAGTACCACAACAAAAACAGACTGACGTGAAACAAAGCAATTTCAGCCTGCATAACATATCAGCACTGTCTATATATCTCACTTCTTTGTCAATTATATGTCTCAATCGATCACAGTTAAGTGCCCTGATGTAAATTTTATAACTTAATTGATCTTTTTTAGCCAGGTAGCTAAGTTGGTGAAAAAAACAAACCAACAAACTTTATATACTACTACTACTGCTGAAAATATTGTACTTGTGTCACAAAGTAAACAACACACGGTGCATAGACTGTTCAGGTGCGTTGTTGCATAAATTGGTTGATTGTGTGAAATAGTTTGTAATTGCGAAATCTGATTCGAACCAATCTACTGTATTTTGCAAACTTTATAAAGGTCCTGTACAAGTGACAACACAACCATCTTTTTTAACCACCTCAAAGTACTGATTGGCCATGCCCTCTGTTAGAGCACCTGTGCACGTCACTGCCAAAAACATTTGGAACAACCAATTTTATTCGACTCTTGTGGAGCCATTTTTATTTGAAAAGTTTATTAGAATTTTTTTGCTTGTAGAGAGTTCACTAAAGCAGTGTTAAAAAGGTATAGTCTGGTAATTATTATTGAACTAAGAAAACTGGAATCGGCCAAGATCACTATCAGCCGGTCAGGTTTTTTTTAAAAATTGCCAATCGGGATTGGCCAAGAAAAATGCAATCGGTGCATCCCTAGAATCCACCCTAGAGCTCCTGATGATGGGTAGTTCCCTCTCTGCCCACCCACCCTGCCTACACATCTGCCTATGCTTTCTTGCTTGCTGTTGGACAGCACCAGCCTTCCATCCTACCAAAGGAATTAGTATCCTCAACTGCCTGCCCAGATACAAACTGGACTACAAACAATTCTGTTTTTTAAATTGGGAGAATGGGCTCCTGTTTTGAGTCTGGTTCCACCGAAGGTTCCTTCCTATGAGGAAGCTTTTCATGCCACTGCTGCCTTTGGCTTACTTTCTGGTGGCTATGGGTAGGGATAATGTCAAGCGCTTTGAGGTAATGTAACGTGAAAATGCACCATAGAAAATGAATTGAATTGAATTGAAAACAGAATGTGGAGGGAAGGGGTCTTGAGAACCTTTGGTGTAGACATTGCTTTACTGCTAAATAAGTCATATGGCCTTCCAGTCTCTACATTTATAAAGAAAAGAAGAGCACACACACACACACACATACATACATGAGTAAAGACGCTCAGTTTTGCACAAAACAGTGGCTAAGCTCTATGGTGAAACATAGCCAGAATCATAATAAGCAGACTACTGTGCTATGAAGGATTGGTTTGTGTCAGCCCTGGAAATTGTAGGAATCATAAATCACAAAAAGCAAATGACGGAACAAGTCCTTCATATTCAACTGAACATGTACAAGATCTGCATGAACAATATATATTGTATGCATGTTGACCTAATTGAAAATATGCATACCACAGATAGTTATTTTAATAGATGCAAATCAAAAATAAAATCTTATAAAGGTAATCCGTTAGATATTTTTGTATTTGTGTTAAGACTTTATATCAACCACATAAAAATATTTATGCTAATTTGTTCCAGACTTTTAGTTTTTGACATATAAGACTGTCCTCACAATAACTGAATTCAGTAGAGTTTCTGTAGAAACAAATTGTTCCTGCAGGACCCTGGTTGTACATTTATGTGCTCCTATTATCTGACCGCTGCATCACATAGTTTACTCTCATGTGATGTGCAACAACAGATCCCTGCTCATTACTATAAATCTTTCTTGAACTATTTGCAGAGCAATAATATACTGGGATCTGCTTGGTTGCAACTGACCTCAAGGAAGAGAAAATCGCATACTTAGATCAATTATATGTGATACATAAAATGTAAATTTGAGAGAATACTGGTCCCTGTGGGGACACTGTTCATGGAGAAAGTATCTGAAGGCCCTGGTCTCCCCTCTGGAGGACTGTGGGTTGCTGCTAACCCTTTCCTAGTGCCCGGCAGTCAGTGAAAAGCTGAGATTCTCCTCACATCTCATGCTTCTGGTTCATCACCACACTCGACATGTCTTCTTAGGTACCATGTAGGACTTATTTTGGCAGTTGAAGGCTTCGGCAAACTCTGGGAAATTCTGGAGTGATCCCAGTACCCTGTAGAGGACAAAATATAGAATGTTCTTTCTCCAGTTTTTTCATTCTCACATTATAATTTTTGCTCTGATACCAAGACAAAACAGCCTGACCTGAACTCGCCTGGACTGTGGACATCAGTCTTAATAGCATTAACAGCATGTTCTGGCCTGTGAGTTCCACACCACACCTGAGAATGGGGGTGAGGGAATAAATCTGTTTAGATGGAGACCTGTATATTTTAAGTTACAAATCACCACTATTTCAGGAATGTCAACACCTCTGTTAAGTAGGAAGTGTTAGAAGTTTTTATATGATGATGTTCTTCCCCGATCCTTCCTTACATTTGCTCCCACTTGGTTTACACTATCAGACCTGCCTTAATGTGGTCCTGTGAGCACTTACCTGGGCAAAGTTGAGGAAGAAGAGCTGCTTGTGGTTCAGGTTAATGCCAGGTAGAGGTGCCTCCTCACCATGTTTGTTTATGTAGTTCAGGTAGGCCTGAAACATCAAGCAACATATCTAGTCGAGAACCACACAAGGAAGAGATCCCTTCTACACCTTGAACTTCCTTGGTCATCATAGTCAGATGCCTTCTCATCAAGTTTATGAAGCAGGGTGCTCTTTGTCTGAAAATCTCAGACCCTGCTTCTCTAGAGATCCTTGGGCGAAAAAGGTCTCTTTGAGCAAAGGGGAACTGCAATGCTCCAAACTCCATCTTGGAGACAAAAGTGACCACTCTGTTCTGTCTCTGTTCTGCATTCTTTAATGATTGTTGATTAGGGACATCACTGTATTGTAAATGTGTTGTATTTTAGAACAATTGCCAAAAAAAGAATTATATTTCTTCAAACAATGTGACATGACCCAGCTGAAACATGAAAACAAATCTGCCGCACAGTAGTCTGGGCTAAATAGACCTTATTTTCATCAATTTACATTTAGCCCAGACTACCTTAAACCTGGCAAGTTATCTGGCTAAGCAAGTAATCCTGCTTTGTGAAACAGGCCCCAGAGCTTCATGTGGAATCCAAACCGCAGACTCCTTCCTTAAGGTCCAGGAAAGAGACCATGAAACTGTCTGCATGCGCTGTTTTCAGATTAAATCCATCTTTCCATCATCAAATGGTGACAAAAGGAATTACTCTCCACACTGCAGCTCCAGCTGGTAATTTTAATAGTCATGACCACCATCACAAACATGCTTATAAAGCGGATTGAATCAGCAATCATGAAACTGGGTAGGGTAAATTATTACAAATTATAAAATACCTGATGTCTGTTGTAATAATATGAAAGTGGGAAAATCAATCTAAGGAAGACTTTCTAAATGTAAAAGTTTTATAATATACTCTTAGAGCCATATTCTTACATAGGGAAAAGACATTAGGATGTGCTGTCCTTACTTGATATGACTGTCGGATGCCCCCGTTGTCTGCGATGTTTTCTCCGAGGGTGTTATTCCCATTGATCTTGTCACACAGGCAGTGCACAGATAGGGGAACAAAAACTGTCATTTGGGGTTTTCTTTGTGTGTTTTGAAATCACTGCCTATACCAGGAAAAACTATTAAGCTCTCTGCTCACTGCGGAAGAACACCATTGTTAGTGATCACGATGCCATGATAAGGGAAATGTGTCTGCTTTCGAGTAGTTCTTTTAGGGAAGAACCATAAGCAGGTGGGGGGCATGTCTAGATGTCTCTCTCTGCAATGTTTTCATTTATTCTAGCAGCTCCTCTGGCATATTGCTGTAAGAAATGTAGGATGAGGTGACATGTGGAGGGTGGCTTCCTTACATTTTGGCCACTGGCCATATGCCAAGAGAAATTTCCATATTGATGGACAATGCACTTTGACAGATCCTGGAAGCGCTCTGTAGATGCTGTGGTCCACCAGTCCTTCAGGTCTCCATCCTTGTCGAAGTTCCTGCCTGTTCAATGAAGCACACTCCTACTGACTCATCACATTTTCTGCTGTGTTCTCAAAGAAGTCTTCTGAGTTTTGTACCACATTAACAGTACAGCACCTTATCATAAAATTGGTTTTGCCATATTAACAGTGTAAGGAAAATCATATGAAATATAGGTAGAATGGTATTTATAATAAATGAAATCCTGACAAAAATTATGAAAAGTAAAAAGTCGGCCATGCATTATAACTCCAATGTCAGCACTTTGTAAGATTGGTCTTTTTTTTACCAGCCTATAAACGGTGATTTGTATGATCATATGCCATTACTCGTGCTGTTTTTACAGTTCTAATAAAACATAATCTTATTTTTTTTTTTCCTTTTCTTACAGTGTAATAAGATTCAGATATACATTTCTTCTGATATCCGTTCAACACATTCCTGTCCTGTATTAACTTCAGACACAGACCACAAAGGATATTTAGCCCTACATTGCATAGTGTAGATTAAATAGGATACCAGCTTTTTGGTGCCTGTACATTTTAGGTAAAAGCAGTACTCTGAAATATGTAACAAACTTTGTGCTGCAAAACACATATTTTTATGTAATCCCATAGAGCTTCACTCACCATTGTCATCAAAGCCGTGAGTGATTTCATGGCCAATGACCATTCCAATGCCGCCATAGTTAAGAGACATGGGTTGACCTTTGCCAAAGAAGGGGGGTTGAAGGATTCCAGCTGGGAACACTGTGGGAAAGAGGGCCTTCGATGTCATTTACAGCCAACACCCTCAGCCCACATGGAGCTATGTGCAAACCAAGAACGCTCCATTGCGCCCACTAGCTGTACACTCAGGTAATGTCAGGTAGGTACATTCTACCTTTCATTAGCCCAAACTGACCCACCATTCATGTTTTAGCAAAAACTGGGAAGGCCAGTTAATTTATTCATTATAGGAAAGAGTAAATGGTGTGATGTCATACCTATTTGGTTTCTGCTTGATGAGTAGAAGGCATTCACAATGGCAGCTCCTGTGATCCATCTTTTTTTCAGCAACAGAAAAAACAATTGAGATTACAGTCATGCTCAAGTTCCCCCGGTATTTGGAAAAGAACATGTGTCACGTTGAGTAGAGACTGTGACCTGGGTACCTACAGATCCAGCACAGTGACTTACTCTTCTTTGTTAACTTTCATTCTTAGTTTCTTCAGTCGTTTCTTCTGACCATACTGTAGGTTTTTCAAGATGTTCTCGAAATACTCATGTACATTGTAGCTCAACTGAAACAACAAAAGCATAAAATAGCAAAAGCTCAATTTTCTGGTACTATGTACCATACTATAAGACCATAGCATTAAAAAGTGATTGTAATGCTTTATTTTCTGTTATAGATGTTTTACATGTCCGTCGCCCTAGTGGTTCTTGGTCTTGTAAGATTCCAACTTACGTCCTTGTACTCATTGTGTAGATATTCGTCATTCCTGATGTTCTCAGAGAAACCAATCCTCTCACGAATAGCCCTTGCCTGCCATTTAGAGCAGAGAATAGAGCCAAGTATGTTTGTAGCACTATGTGGTCACATTAATGATTTCATTAAACAATGTTGTTTTATCTTTAATTTTATTAAATAAGCTGCTTTTTTATGGAAGGTATGGGCTCAAAGTCTATGAGACCAAGAATAGAAATTTTATTATAGGTTGCATTTCTCACCTTTTCTTCTGCTGCCTTTTTGGTCTCCTTGTCCATCCAGGGAAGGTCATCAAGATTATTCACAAAAACTTGCCTGATCTCAGCAATCATTTCATCCATCTTGGCCAGATAAATAGAAAAATCTTACTATTTTATTTTTTCCTCTTGTGATGTAATCCATAAAGCCCTTTCAGGTTGGAGCCATTCTGTTTAATTATGCATTGCATAAGCACATTAAACATAATGAATAGAATCATCTGTATATAAAACAATCCTGTGTTTTCATGAGTAGAGCTATTAGCCATGTGAAATACTCATTACAGCCACATGTTGATTGAGCCTCAGTAGTGCTATAGTGAAAGGCTGTTTTACGGGCAGATTAAGTGAATAGTGCTACACGTCACACAAGGCTATGATCACTTTCACTATCAAGGCTTTATTCCTAATATAGGAAACAAGTCCTGATTCAGGGTTTCTGACTGAAATGTGGCATGTTCGGAAGGTATACAAAAAATAATCTGGGAGAATATTTTAGGAAACATGGCTATGGAACGTATTGGTAACCTACAGGTATATTAAGGCTGCAGCTGAAGACAGACTTAGCCTGTGTCACACACATTATGGCTACAGTGGTGCACCTATGCACAATTATGCCAAAATTACATCACGATGACCAAACTGAAAAATGGTGTTCATGTGAATATTGTCCCTACAATGACAGTACTATAACATACTAAGACATGCTCATAAAGCACTAAAACACACACACATACACACACTCCTGACCATATCTTTGCTCTCCCCAGCAAAGGCCTCCTCTACATACAGCCGACCCACTGCGTTCTCCATGTTGTTGTTCACATAATTAGCACACTGGCGCCACACAGCTGCTTCAGATGTAGTTCCATATATAGCCTGTAGGGGGCAAGGGGCGTTGGAATAGTATCAAATCCTGTAAGAAAAGCTCTAACCTACAATTATCAATCTTATAACCGATTCATACAGATCATGCAAAAAATTGAGGGAGATGGGTCCATTTTAAATTGGAGTGGAGCTAGCTGGCTCTTTTGTGATAAAAAAATACTACTAACTTTCCACTATCCTTACAGAAATGATAGTTCTTCATAAACTGCATTTTGATTGAGTCTGCTGTAGATTGGCTAATGCTCTGTTTTTGCTGGGCAAATTTCATGGGTATTTATTGATTTTATCACAGTAACACCAGTTGCCCAGATTTATCATGCATTCAGTTTTATTTGCTGATATAGCAGTACAAGTATTGTAAAAAATTATCTAGCCAAATACAGCTTACTCAATAATTGTAATGATATCATTATCATATATCCCTTTTGTCCAAGAAACATTTATTCATATCTCAATTTTAACCATGCTAAACCCAGAATTCATCTATGATTGTATTCTTTAATTTTAAAATCGAGTGTTTATAAGCTCAGTCCAGTGTTGTTTATCTCAATACTGCACAATTATTAGAGATTAGAATCTATTCATGATCCAGCTGTTCATAACAAGCAGACTTTAATGTATGTCAGACAAAGACATGGGAAGAGGTCAAAGTGTAACAGTCTCTCAAAGCCCACGCTGTCACCAGGTTTGTACAAGCCTAGAATCCCTGCTGCCTTAGCGTTCAGCCCTAATCATATGGGAAGCTAGTTGTGGAGAGGCACACATACCTTGCGGAAGGCTTTTCTTGTGTCTTTGTAAGCTCTGCTCAAACCAGCCACCAGGTTCATCACATATCGCCAGACAATATAATTCTGTATGTCTCTGCAAAAGATGTAAAAAGAAGGTCACATTGAGTTCCTTTGTCTGTCTGCTTTCTGTGAATAGGCTGGTGTTAGTGGAGTGCAGTTACAAACCTGGGACTGTAATTCTCCAGGATGGGCCTGAGTTTTGTAAGGTACCTTGGTGCATATACAACCACAGGTTCATCTTCGCTTATTGTAATGTTCACAGTCTCCATTATTTTGTTTGCAAACTGAGTCCAGTTAAATTCCTGTTGAAGTATTCAAAGTAAACACTGAGTAAATGCAAGTATGACAACAGTATGCTTGCAAAAAAGGTATACCGGATGGAGAACAGGAAGAACAAAAAGAGGAGTAGGATCTATTATAGATTACAATAGATTATTATAGCTGCCGCTCAGTGTGTAAGAAGAAGCTTCTTACTTTAGAGTCAATCACCAAGGAGAAATTGGTGTTCAAAACAGCCAATGGCATTTTGTTGTAAAGGAGAACTGGGTCGTTTCTGTCTTCTGGTATGTCTGTTGCCTGGGAAAGAAATGGTTACCAAAATGTAACTTACTGTTAAATCTGTGTGTGTGTGGATTACGTTTATATTACATTGTGGGGACCAAATATTTCCCACGATGTAATAAAAACCTGTTATTTTGATGCTGTCAGGACAATGTAGATATTACATTGTGGGGAGCAAATGTCCTCACAATGACAAAAACTGTTTTTATGGGACAATTTTTTCGATCCCCACAAGGGGAAACTCAGCTTTATAAAAATCTGTGTCTGCAATGAAAAAAATTAAAATGACAAAAGAGTCTGGTATTTTGTTTGGTTACTTATGGTTAAGGTCAGGGCTGGGTAGGCGTTAAGGTTATCATTGCTGGGATTAGGGTTTTTCCCTTAGAAATGAATGGGCAGTCCCCACAAAGAGATGAATACAAACGTGTGTGTGTGTGTGTGTGTGTCCATGTACACAGAGAATAACAGGCGTGTTACATTGGCGATGTCTTTCTCCAGCTGCATCACACCGGCCAGCTCCTGAGCAATCAAGCTCTCATTCACACTGAGCCCTCGGTCAGTACGCATCAGCTTGGCCACATCAATCATGAAGAGCTCATATGCTCGACATGCCTGCAAAAGAATCGCCATAGAGGTGACAGCAGTGAATCATGGGAAAAGAGAGGATGATAAGGCTGGAGTGGAGCTCGGGTAGGCTATATTTGGCTAAATAATTTTTACTGTAGAAGTATTGCTATATCAGCAAATAAAACTGCATGTATGATAAGAAGTCCAGGCAATATACTTTAATGATTCCTGGGGGAAAATCCCATCAGTGAATAACTTGTGCCTCCATTCATAAACATGGAAAAGCACAGAACAGATATGGACATTCGAACACTAAAATGGGAATACAAATTAAATAAATTGAAAGGATAACTGATTCTGGCCAAGGATGATAGGCTACTACCCAAAGGAATCATTTGATTTGCCAGTATTTGTTTACATAGAGTATATGGACAAAAGTATTGGGACACACTTGTTAATCACTTAATTCACGTGTTTCATTCAGATCCATTGCCACAGGTATATAACATCAAGCACCTAGTCCTGCAGTCAAGTTTACAAACATTTATGAAAGAATGGGTTGTTCTGAAAAAGCTCAGTGAATTCAAGTGTGGTACTGTTATAGGATGCCATTAGAGATGGCCAGTATGACCAAAAATTTATATCACGGTATTTTTCAAAGTTATATCACTTTCACGGTATACGACAGTATTTTTTTTTTTTAAGTATGACCGGCCGTTTACCACATTTTACAGGATTTTACAGGACACATTTTTGTTTTACGTTTTTGCATTGTTCCCACATTATCTATATTGTTTTGTTATTAGCCATAGCGCCTATCCGCTACTTTAATGATAACATATGGCTAACGTGTTTGTTGGCTAACTGCTTATAGATAAACAGCTAATGTTAAGGTGTGCGCCGGCCAAGTTAATATTTTTGATAAGTGTTTAATAGTTCAGTGTTGCTGGAACGCGACCTTTACTGACGTGAAATTTCTCATAAAGGCATGTCAGTTAAGATGCTTCGCCAAGTTTGACGTGCTACTTGCAATTGACTTCGTCGCCACAACTTTGTAGCACTGTTCGCATAGAGACTTATCGACATCCTTAGCCTTTCCATGCTCGTCTGCAAAATACTTCCAAATGGCACTTTTGGGTTTTTCTTTTTTTTACTAAAGCAGCTTGCAAAGTGCCTTCAACTGCAGCATACGCCATGTTCGGCCAACTGGGTATGTGCGTGTTAACCAGTGCGAGCGCGTTCAGCGGCTATTGAGAGGGGGGGAGGGGCTGTGGGAGTGTGCGCGTGTGCGCTGTAGTGGTACTGTGTGAAGTGTGGCGAATGAGGCGAAAACCGCACTGTTGGTATCAATAATGGTGAAAATGAGTATCTAATCGGATACTAATTTTTAATATCAATGAGTATCGGAGAATCAATTTTTGACAACCCCAGTGTCTCATTATTTTCAACTCCAGCGTCAGCTATACCTTCCGTTTCTGATCTTTCGCGGTACATTTTCAGCGGTGCAGCAGTGAAAAAGGTCCCCCCTTAAACGGTTTCCAGCTGCGCCACTTTCCGAACATTGTGTAGGCTATTTAAACCGGTATTGCGGTATAAGAAAAAATCATGTCATAAAAATAATAAAAAACGATTTCCAGTATGAACCGGTATACCACCCAGCACTAGATACCACCTTTGCAATAAGTCAGTTTGTGAAATTTCTTCCCAGCTAGATATTCCACGGTCAGCTGTCAGTGGTGTTATTGCCAAGTGGAAGCTTTTAGGAACAACAAAAACTCAGCCACAAAGTGGCAGACCATATCAAATAACAAAGCAGGGTTTATACAAAGTACAATGAAATTCTTACTTGAAAATTTTATTTTCATAAACAACGTTATTTTTCCATGCAGTTCCGGTATTTAGAAATCTTGGTGATACAATTTGCCAAGGGCAGGGAGTTTATATTTTGCTAGAACATTTATACTGTTGTAGGAAACAAAACTTGCCAAGCTTTGCAATTTTAATATTTATGGATTCTACTATGCATATTACATGCCACTGGGGCAATAGCTCTGAAACAAAATGGGACAGCCATGTCCTATGGAGTGTGCTTTCATCAGTGGCCTCTGGGGGACAATGCACACCTCTTGGATTTTCAAGATCACTTTCTGTCTAGCAGTTATTAATTATTACATTGCATCCATTTTACATGCCATTGCTCCATTTCATAAATATTGACAGTTAGTTGATACAAATTAATCCATAAATAAGTTGTAAAGTGTGATTTAGGCAGTGCACCATGGGACAAAGCAAATGTATCGTAGCTGAATTGCATGTCACTGACCGGTTATCTTCATCTTCTACCAAAGCAAATAGCCAATCATAGTCAATATTAAAAAAAAAACAATCAAAGGAGCGGAGACATTAGCTACTGTTCCCGCCTCCAAAGTGTCAAAATTCATCCTGTCGAGCGAGCGAGTGTAGATAGGATCCAGCGAACGCGAGCGCGTAGACAGGATGGGTTTTCTGCTTGCGAGCGCATATACGGGCACATGGTTTTTATGCGCATGAGTTTTGGCACTAATTAAACGCCATACCTTTAATTCACCAGATTGATGTAATACGTGTGCAAGTATGAGGAGCTGCCCCGTTTGTGTAAACGCACGCATTGCACGCATAGAGTATAAACCAGCCCTAATGGTATGGGGTTGTTTTTCAGGAGTTGGGCTAGGCCCCTTAGTTCCAGTGAAGGGACCTCTTAATGCTTCAAGACATTCTAGACCAGGGGTCTCCAACTCCGGTCCTGGGGAGCTACTATCCAGTCGGTTTTCAATCCTACCTGGCTTCTGATGAGCCACACCTGTTCTCAGGTAAATACCAGGAGCAGGTGTGGCTCATCAGAAGCCAAGTAGGATAGAAAACCTACTGGACGGTAGCTCTCCAGGACTGGAGTTGGAGACCCCTGTTCTAGACAATTCCATACTTCCAACTTTGTGGGAACAGTTTGGGGACGTTCCAGCATGACTATGCCCCAGTGCACAAAGCAAGGTCCATAAAGACATGGTTGGTATGGAAGACCTTAACTGGCCCACACAGAACCCTGACCTCAACCTCATCTAAGGCCTTTTGGATGAACTGGAATGGAGATTGTGACCCAGACCTTCACGTCCAGCATCAGTGCCTGACCTCACAAATGCTCTTCTGGATGAATGAGCAAAAATTCCCACAGACACACTTCAGAATTGTGTGGAAAGCCTCCCCAGAAGAGTGGCAGCTGTTATAGCTCCATGTTGATGCATAGGGATTTAGAATGGGATGTCATATAAATTTCTTTAGGTGCCAGGTGTCCCAATACTTTTGGCCATATAGGGTATCATTTGGCAATGACACTTATCTGAATTATTTTAAGTATTTACATGTGACATAGTAACAGTGTGGATGTTTCAGGGAAGGGGCAGCCCTAGGGGAAAACCCCTCCACTCACCTGTAATTAACTGCCTAACGAGGATTAAACAGGCTTGTTGTGTTAGGGGGAGAGGGAGTCTTCCACAAAGCAGGATTTCTCAGTTAGCTGGGTTAACTTAAGCTATTAGTCATGATTGTCCAATAGGATTGCTCCTTAACTAAACTCTTATTGGACAATCATGACTTGTAGCTTAAATTAACCCAGCTAACTGAGAAATCCTACTTTGCGGAACACACCTAGAGAGTCTAGGAGCAACAGCCCCACTCTCTTGGGTTCATGTTTTGCTCGTGTCGTGTCGATATTACATGATGAGATTTCTCGTCGGAGTGAAAAGCAGTCTCGCGTAGGCGCTGCAAATCAGCTGATCTAAGCATGTCGGCGTTTGACGAAATTACCATAGTAGATGCCCCAGACACTTTTAAATCTTTTGTGTGGCCGCATTTTGGGTACGCGGCAGAAAATATAAACGCGAAACAGTGGCAGACGACGAACACAAACCATATGTAAGCATCGTAGGAAAATAATGCCGTACACAGCGGCTAACACTACTACTATGCAAAGGCATTTGCAGAACCATCATAGCTCTTCACTTAAATCCACTGCACCGGGGAAGACAACATAAAAAATGTTTTATGTTTGTTATTTATATTGTTTTATTTATATTCTACTTTATATTCAATTGAGTAGTCAAATACGAGAGAAGCCTGTCATTTGAGTTTGTGGTAAAATATTTTATGGTGCTAGATATTTGTTCTGTTTTTTACTTTCGCTCCCGTTCTTTCTTTCTTGTATTTTTCCAGTTCCAATTTCCTCTTTGAAATCTTCCTTAAAATATTGTTAAGATATCGTCTCGTTCTCGTGAACCCAATATCGTGTCTCGTCTCGTGGGCTGAGTATATCGTTACACCCCTAGTGCTAATAAAATAACCACCTTCCCTCCTCCAGTCCCTCTGCCCTCTGGATCTTCTTTCTAACCAGAAGACTATGGTTTTTTTCACGGTAAAGTTTACACTGTGAGCTGTTTGAGGTCCTACCAGATGTTGGCGTGAGAAAGAAGTTTTGAAATCAATACAGAGGGCCCACCACATTGAGGCTGTAGTAGATTGTCCTGTTTTACCCTGGAAGGTAAACAATCTGCAGATGCTCAAATATGCAGGCACATTTCTGGAGAAGCTGTTGGAGACTTACCTCTTCATAAGGGCCAGTGCACACGTAATAGTCCCTGGAAGAAAGACCCAGTCCAGGCTGGTCAAACTGGAAAAAAAGGTAAAAAAAAACAAAAAACTTTTAGGCTGGAGCCAGGAGCTCAAAACAAGCATTGTTTTATAAAGATATTTCACAAGATCTGTGAACCAAGTCAGAAAAACTACTGCATTTTTCCCCAACCTACATGAATGATGTGGGAATTGGAGTCTTTGTCATCAGTTCCAACGAAAAAGTTAATAAGCACTTGTTTTCCATATCTCTCATTCAGCCTTGCTATGGCGTCCTCCAACGTCCAGTTTGCACCTGTGGCAGTGATGGAACATAAGCATGGTCAGTGATCTGGGGATACTGCCAGTGCCTCTCAGTAAAAATGTCTGCCTGTCTCACCATATTCTCTGTCCCAGTTGTCTGTGGCCACTGGCCACTCATAGATTATGGGCAGCATCTTGAATAGCGGATCTCCACCCCTCTTCTCAATTGTGCCTGTTAGAAAATCCAAGTGTATTTTTTTTTTTGTAACAAAACAGTGTTTCTCATCATATGTACAATCAAATCTTTATTCATTCAGGAATTATTCCATTCAGTTAAAAACTGATTTTAAAATATACTGCAGGTTTTAGAAATTCCTCGTCCATTATCCAGCCATTTTCTAACTGCTTGTTCTGGAAAGGGTCATGGGGAAGCCTTGAATCTATCCCAGGCAGCGTAGGGCAGTATGCCAGTCCTTCACCGGGCATATACATGCAATTTAGAGACACCAATTAGCCTGCAGATTGTGGAGGAAAGTGAAAGGCGTTCCAGGGAAAACTCCCCACACAGAGCAAAGGTGGGATTTGAATCCCACTGAGCTAGCCCTAATCCATGATAAAAGTGTAAGTTAACTCAATCTGACAATTTGAACATTAAGCAGGAAGAAAAACTCACACCAAAAGGAGCTGGAATTCATGTCTCTAAAATGCATTTAAAAATAGGAAGAGTCAATTAGACAAGGAATTAGAAGTAATAGAACAATGTTTAATTTACTTTCATTGATGCAGGACTTGTACAGCAACTTAGCCTTGGTCAAGGCGCTGTTGTTGACTGAGTCAGACCTTTCAAGCACACCTGTAACAACAAGAATAAACAGAGTTTAGCACAATGTCTATGCTGATCCCATTTTATTTTACATTTGATGGGCACCCTATACCTCACTCATGTAGCTGCTTTTCATAGCGCTAGTCAGTCCCTTCAGGTGGCATGTTATCCTCCCATAACCTAAACCCTTAAATATGATTGTATGTTAAAATGTATCTAGGTCTTGCGTTTGACTGGCATCCCATCAGGATGTAATATGACACTGAGAAATAATAAGGCCTCTTCCATTCTCATGAGTGATAAATGAATAGAAGCTTGATTGAAGGGGAAAAGTGATGAATCTAATGTTTGTGTGACACTCTGGAAGGATACCAGAAAGAAGAGGCATGGTGTTTATGGTAAGCAAGTACGTCACAGAAAATATCTACTGAACAGGACCGACCTGTCCCTTCGCTCCCGTTCTTTCTTTCTTGTATTTTTCCAGTTTTTATTTTCCCTAAATGTCCTGCAGCCCCCTGCAGCCCACGTGACCTACTACAGCGTGCAGGATCACGCTTCACAAGTCTGATGCTTCACTATTTATATTCCAATTTAACTTTAATTAGAGCCACGACTTGGGAAGCAATTGGGTGCTTCCTGGAAAGGGCACAGATCATGTGTGCATGATAGGATTATGGGCTGCCTGCTGTCAGGGCATCTGGAACCCCTCCAGCTTCAAAACCTCCTTGCTGATTCAGACTGGTCCTTCCTGACTGTCTGGTGAACCTATGCTGGTAAGCTTCTGTAATCGTAAACTCTTTCCAAGAATAAGTGTCTCATAGCCTCTTCCTGTTACATCCATGGTCATAGCCTTCACTGAAATAGTCATAGTCTGTTCCATCACACGGACCTACTCACTTATCCTTCCATGTCTTTGCCTTATATGTATCTCTAGACTTTTATCTTTTATTTATTCAGCCTTGTGTACAGAGGATTCCTATTCATAATAGTACAGTTTTGACTCAGTTTTAAACCCTGAAATATAATTTAACTTTAAACAGGAACTATAAATGTCCCAATAGCAGCATGACCATAAAACAATGACAAATGACCGTGACCTTATTCATGGAAAATAAGAGAAGGGAGATACATACATAACCACTGTGTTCAAGGTGTCTATGACACATAAGCGGCTACATTTCTGTGCTTTAAAATCCCTTAAGTAAAGCTCTTTATTGTTACCTTCTGATTTTAATGTCCCCAGTTGCATGCACACACCTGTTCCTCAATGCATTTTGCAACACAAGGGGGGTGGGTGGGTATTTCCTTTCATCTGTAGAGAAAGCTGCTCCCAGACACAGCTCTATAGCCTCACAGCTTAATTTGTGGGGTGGGAGAGTGCCGTAATTAAAATCTCCCGGTCAGTTTATCAAATTATTTCGGAGCATGCCAGCATGTACTGTAGATTTTGATAGTCTTGCACAATAACTTATGTAAGTTAGCAGTAGCCTCAATCTGCCAGCTGGGTAACCAATTAAAATTTGTGATATTACATTATAAAGAATTTTAATAAGCATTCTGTGCAAAACTGGACTGATTATCCTAATATGAAACATTCAATAATAATAATTGTGTAATTTTGGTTAGAATCAACACAAAATGCATTGGAAAAACAGCTTTACAATTATTTCTACTTTCTGGTATTTTATGTTTCTTTGAATTAAAATTGGTCTACATTTTTGTCATTGTGGACACCAGCCAATTATCTTCATCTTTGATTTTAGTCATATAGTTCCAAACCACTCAAAGCTCAAAACAGAAATCTACAGAACACAGATAATCACTTGGAGTAAAGGCAGGGTCAAGTTTCACTCAAGTTTTGCTTGATTAAGCAGCGGTCAAAATCCAAGGTTCGACATCACATGCATCGCAAAGCCAGAAACAGTCAAAGGTACACAGAGAAGAATCATCTTTTCCATTTTAAACCTCATCTGCTTGGTCATGGGAAACAACAGCATCAAATTTCTAGTTTAAACTATCTCACTCATTTAATATGCAGTGACACATTTCCTATGCAAGAAAAACCAATTAAAGGTTGGGCACATCTCACCCCACCATACATTCTCACTAGAACTGCTTGCTCAAGCTCTTTGGATTGTAAGAAAGTAGAATGTCACAACATGAGTCATGGGTGTACACTAGTACATCAGCTGCCAGAACTGAGAAGACCTGGCCTAGCAAGCTAGAAAAACCAGTACAGCACCAGCTCTGGATGACATACTTCATCTCTGTGTCACATGGTACATTTAACTAATACAGAATTTATTACAATATAGTTGTTAATCTCTCTGACCATGTCAATGATTGACCAATGAGTAGTTGATGTTTTACCAACCTTTCAGAACCACTTCCAGCTCATCCCTCAGGATGTCAAAAGTGCTATAACGTGAGCTGGTCTCTGGTATGATGTTCTTCTTCAACCAGCCCCCACAGGCGTACTTATAGAAGTTATCACATGGCTCCTTGCTGGGATCCATGTTCTCGATGATCCGGGAGGCTGTGATATGACCAGTGATGATCAGGAACAGTAGGGCCCAGCTCCCCTGGGCCAGTTCTCCAGCAGTCATGTTCTTTATGAACTGATTGAGGTTCTAGAACAGTTACACTGCCTGCTGTTTGGAAAGCTTGCTCTATTTCAGCAGGCAAATGCAACAATATAATCCTAACGAGAAGGAGTACTACGGGGAATGAAACCATTCACTTAATAATTGCACAATGCTGGCTTACCTGAACGGGTGCAGTCTGCCGTCGTACAAACGCCATCTGTAGACAATCGAAAAAGTACAGCGGTCAAAGCACTTGGAAGAATGACCCGCTGAAAGAGAAATACCTGCCATTCCGCCTCATTAGTGAGCAGCGTGGAGGTGCGACCTAAAGGCGGCATGCAAGAACCAGCAGGGTTTCACCCACCCTGACCGCCACCAGTGGACAACAACATCACCACACCCTGTCTAACAACCTGTCCAGCAATTTCTGTGTGATTCGATTTAGCATGGCGTGGAATGAGACCCGCCCTGCTTCTCTCTCAGGTTCTCCTGCGTTCGTGTGGAGAGCGGGGCTTCATGCAGAGAAATCCCCCTGCATTTGCATTCTGTCTCAGAAAGCTGTTGAAACATTTATTAAGTACCATGATTTACTCAGGCTGGCACAACATTGCTTTCCACCCACCATCTGCTATACATCTACCCAGCACCTGGAGGTGTTACAACATATTTACCGTGGAACAGCCGGGGCCATTATCGCCATACTCATTTCCTGTCCGGTTAATTATGGCTTGTAGCCTGATTCTCTAATTAGCCCAAATGCATAGATCTGTTTGTCCTGTGGAAGGCTACTATATGCACTACACAGTGCTCTCTACCTGCTGGAGCACCATCGTACACCAGTGCACCAGTGAGCCCCCACTTACTTCCATTTTGGGTTACAAAGAGGACAGTGAGAGCCACCAGCACGATGAAGAGAAGTGATACTATGGTAATCAAGCCGATCTCCAGGGACGTCCAGCGGAGCTTCTTCACTGCCTTTGGCGTACAGCTTTCCGCCATATTCAGCTGACCCTCAGGTGCCGTCTGTAAAAATTCACCTGTGGTGAAAGAGAGACAACAGGCAAACTGATCTGCTGCAAAATGAAAGGAAAACTTCAGATCCTGCAGCACCGCTTGTTGGACTTTCCTCAAATAAACTGGAGGAAGAGCTACTTGCCACTTTGAAGTTGGATTGCGACCTGCTGCCACCTCATCTCTGTATCTCTGTACCTCTTCTGTAAAACGCAGAGTCAGCACAATTCCCAGAAGCTGGTCTGAACAGACATTAACCCTTGATCCTCTTCCACACATAAGTGCTGATGTCCCCTGCCAGTATACTAACCTACTTGTGGAGATGAAAGATCAGGTCCTGGGTGTGAAATGACCCCTCTGGAGGAATGCAAAAATGAGCCCTGCAACATAGCCCAAGGACCCAGTGGTGAGCTGGGCTTTTGTCTCTGAGCCACTACTTTTGTTTTTAGGAAAAACAAGATATGAGGAGCACTGTTGAGCTTCCTGTAGTTTGCTCTTTATGAAGATACAGCTTCTTTTGCTCCTGTTGTCGTGAGCCAGCTAAACAAAGAGAACTGTTTGGGTTCTATAAGAAATGTCAACATGGCAGTGGTTGACTGGCGATTGCGTGTGTGGGTGTGTGTCCTTATACCCTTGTGCATGCATTAATAATAACGTCATGTATGTGGTAATATACAACATTTACAAGAAACCATGAAGCTGCTTTTTTACTAAGTAACATGGGTTAAGCAAGACAGTTCAGTTCCGTCACTCTACCTATCATTATCGTACAGTATTATTTGAGTCAGAAAGAAAGATGACATTTTTTTTTCCATTTTTGTTATAGAAAAATTGTGTTGTGCAAAACACCTATTGAGGTGGTTACCTCACTGAGGGAGCACTGAAAACACCTCATACATCATATTTATACGAGGCACTGAATTCCACAAGAATTAAAACTGCCCAAAGCCAAACAACTGTCCGGCAGTTCGAGCTCAGTGTGTGTGCGTGTGTGCATTGCGTGTGTGCATTGCGTGTGTGCATTGCGCGTGTGCATTGCGCGTGTGCATTGCGCGTGTGCTCTGGTTACTAAGATATTGTACTGCTTATCAGGTGTGTTTATCCTCAGCATTATCCGTCCCTCATTTGCATGCCAACTTGCTGTAATCTGTTTCATTTTAATTCACAAATATTTACTGTAGCAGTTGGATGGATGGATACATGGATTGATGGATGGATGGATGAATGGATGGATGAAGCAACCTTTGGGTCACAAAACTTGATCCGTAAGTCGATCTGCTGCCTTTTACAGTCTAATTTAGGAAGGCAAAGCCAGAACATGTCAGAGCTTGTGTGTCAGACACGTCCGGTTGACAGTCCTCATCAGGCTTTTCTCTAAGGGCACACTTCTCAACATGGGTCAGACCTGCTGAAGGTGGCACCCCCTGTTCACACCATCATGCTGAGCTCAGGGTAGTGGGGGCTCCAAAGACCAAAGTAGGCTGATGCACACAGCTCTGTCAGTGAGAGCCGTGTGCTCACTCACTTATCCTCATAGCATTCTGAAAACTAGTTTACATAAAAGTGCAAAGACGTTACCACTGTGTTTAATATGTTTTCCAGATATTTTATTGTTTTGGCAACTCTTGCATTGTACGGTGGCTGGTTCATTTTGTGCTGTGCGACTGATTGCATGGTAATTAACACACACTGAAAGTGAAACCCCAACGCGATGCAGCTTAGCAGCCCAGTGGCAGCTTCTGTGTTCCATAGAGATTATTCCTGCAGCACATCTGCCAGCTCAACCCACAGCAGATGATAAGGACTCTCACTTTAATACACCACGTGTAGCAACAATTAGGCATATGACAAATGTCCAAGCAGACAAGTGTACTGTGGAGTACCATGCAGAAATCTTAGGTAGTAAGGAAATGATGTTTAAATGATCTACATGTTGGTGTAAAAGAAAGATTTTATGTTTGTCAGAGTGTGTCAGCTTAACCATTTCAAAAACTCTCCTAAGGTCACCCCAGTATTTGCAGCCACTATCCAATATACTCAAATATTTCTTGACTTCACCACTAACACACCATGTTTGGCTAATCAGTACCTCATTGAGTTATTAAATTATTTTAAGTTAATTAGTTATGTGAGCTGGTGGTGAAATTTAACTAATACATGGGATGGCTGGGCTGCCCCTGAGCAGAGGTTTGGGAACTGAAGCGGTGTTCATCTAGCCATCCAAGCAGATATCAGTAACCTTTTGGAGAACAGAAGAAATTCTTATTAGTCTTTGTTATTGTTAATTTGCATACGTTCTACTGTTAAATTGTGACTTTTCAGAACAAATATACATGTACTACCCAGATAAATAACTTTAAATATTTTCTTTGACTTTTTCACAGTACTATAGTTAAACTCATTACCTACAGCAAGGGTGAACTTCTATTTTGGTACTTGCATGGTGAAGGACAAAGTAGCCACTGAAACGTTTGTCTTTTATAATTGATGTGTATATACACGTATATAAACATGTATATACATATTCTGTTGTTCTGTCATGCCATCCAAGATGTTTTGCTGGGTTAGGCTCTAGGCTCACTGATGCCCTCTGCTAGATACGCCGTTATGGATGATGGATGAATGACCGATTGAACTGTGTTCATTTCTGGTCTGTCAGATTAACATAATAATTAGAATAATTTGTTTGTTTGTTTGTTTGTTTTTTTTGGAAATGTTTCACAAAAACAGAAGTACTCAAATATAACTGCACATATACCGAGTGTAGTCTTTACAGCAATACATCTAATAGATCTATAAGTACCGGAAAATACGGACGTCTTTGGTTCTGTTGAAAGCATATTAATTGCAGGCGCTTAAAATAATACTTAACTGTAGTGCATGAATTATTTAAATAAAATAGCAATAACAGAACGTTTCTATTACAATCAACAGTATATCTAGTATAATGTGTTGCAAATGAGAAACTAAAACAAGTTATCGATCAACCCAAAAGAAAACAAATGAAACATTAACCCGTTGCGTTGTTTTTTTTTTTTTTTTTTTTTTACTTACCAGGTGTCTCTGGAAATTTTCGGTCGATGATGTAAATGGGCATCACCGACCAATCAAACAGACATCAAATCCATGAAAGAAGAACCTTCAGGATCAGGCTGTATGCAACCTGACAATCAACGACGGAGAAACACTCTCCTTTAATGCACTTCTTTAAAACATATCCGCATCTCTCTCCGAACTGGGTTGGAAAGGCGCTTTCCTACCTGTTAACGGCGCGAGACGTCACGAATCCCCTCAAACTGTTGCAAATTCCTTATTGTTTTACGAATACAAACTAAATTAAACAACTGGAACCTGCTCAGCTTAAACATGTAATGAATATCGGTGTGTGTCGGCGTAGACGCACTCCTGTAGCTCCGTCGGTGGCCGGCGCTGTCTTGGAGCCTCTTTCAGAGGTGTTCCTGTTAGAGGCAGCGGTTTAGTACTTTCGTGAGGACCTGTCACACTATCCTAAATGACTAGCGAATGGTTTTTGTCTAAAGTAAATTTCATGACTGGTTTGCAACCTCATGGATGATCACTATGTCATTTTAAGGTTTACTAGCTCTCTGAAACTAATTTGTGCGTAGTGTTGCGTCTGGGTTAAGAGTACGCGACCATCCTGTCCTTATCATAGTAATAACACTATGTTCTTGTCTTTCTAATAATGAGGCCGGAGATGTATTATGGAAACTCGCCAAACACAAGAGATTCTCAAAAATATGCCCATTTTAAATTACAAAACTGCCATTTCAATTTGAGTTGATAAATTATTCGATTTGATTGTAAATTGTTGGGTGTCTATCATAAATATGATTTACCTTTATAGACCACGATTTAACCATTTCCTTTTTACATTACATTGGAACTCTTAACTAAACTAGAACTAAATGTACAGTTACTTGGTCTCCCTGTTTTAAGATAAATTCAGTTCAGTTCAGAAATTATTTTCACAACAAAGCTGTCTGAAGGCACCTGACTGGAATATGCAGCAATTCATTATTACATCATTTGTCCTAAATGGTTTATGATAAAAGGAGAAGGGGAGCATCCTCAGAGTGGATTTCCTTTATGGATGTAACAAGGTGTGTTCATACTTCAGCTTCACACTGCCATCATGACAGGCATCAGCTTCATGCTGCCATCATGTCTGGTTTTGACTGTCATGTCTGCTTCTGACAGACATCAGCTTCACACTGGCATCATGTCTGCTTCTGGCAGGCATCAGCTTCACACTGCCATCATGTCTGCTTCTGACAG